CGAACAGTTATCATCCATGCACTCGTACCTTGGGATTTATCTCCATAGTCATAAACAGCCTGAAGCTAGAGTGTGGGTTTAGAGAGTGGAGCTTCTTCTCCAAAGTTACCAGCCACTGTGGAGCCAGATGAACGTTCTTGAGGAGAACCCACCTGCAGAGAGAGAAAGAGAGAGAAAACACTAAGTAAGGAAATGAGGAGAAACTGTCAGTAAACAGAGACAAAGGGGAATAGAACACAGATAGGTACAGGTGTAATATTGGACAGAATTAACCCTTAGTCGTCCTTCCTCTGAAGCAACGATGACAGTGTGATACCATTTGACATCCTTTAAATTTGTGGAAGGTACTTTGCACCTGGTGCTCAAATTAATACTTCTGAGATTGCAGGGGGAAGGGAAACCTTCAGGAACATGTGCAACGAGATACATAAGGGACGAAGTAAGTTTCGCAGAATTCATGGCTTTAAGATTAAACATTAGAAAAGCAGACATACCTTCCAGACTTTGTTGCTGAGTTGATGGCCTTGTCAGCAAGACTGAAACCCTCCGCAGATCCTGGAAATAAAGAGGAAAAAAAACCATGCTTTGGCGTTTGTAAAGTTTTGATGCCTCATGCACGGTGGAGTTGTTACTCACCAATAGCAATTGACGTGCACTGTTTGTTCTGTTCGGCGGCGAGGTCATCAACCCAACCACTGGCATCATAACCGGTCACAGAGCACAACAGCAACGGTGTAGACGACTTGACCTGTTGAGATGGAAAATTTTCATCAAAATCTCATTTCGTATTACCACGAGAAAACCCTAAAGAGACTCACTGTATCAATTACTATGTCCGTGCATTTTGATTTGCATGGACGCTGACGGGAAGAAGCTGAATTCAATTTTAGGGTACAAACCACTCAATCGAGAAAATTTCCGTGAGACTTTCTCTTCATTTCCTTAAGACCAAGTTTTAGATACAAACCTCGTTTTCAACAACAGATGCTAAGTCCAGTCCTTGCTCGGCATCATGCATAAAGTTCTCGCCGAGTATTGTCCCCACTACCCTCTGACCCATGGCTAAAATCCGATCAGGTCTTAACGCCTGTATCACAAGCAGCTGATGGACTGACTGGGCAATATTTGCTACAAAAAGAAGAAAGAAGTCATAGCTACGTATACTTAAATCAATACTTCGTTACCACTAGAAAGAGAGTCTGCACGTGAGTCACGTGCCCCCACATCCTGGAGCTCGTACTGATTTTGTGTCACACTATACTAGCGTCTGATTTTGAGCATTGATGTTCGAATTTCGTTAGGCTCTAATGTACGATTTTAGACACTAGTGTCCGATTTTGAACACAAGAGTCTGATTTGGGACACTGGCGTACGATTTCGGATATCTGTGTCCCATTTTGGACCCATCAACGGGAACACTCACTCCCAAACGCCACAAGCAGAGATAAAGTTTGGGAAGAGGAGAGCCCAGAGGGGATGGATCAATACAGTATCTGGGCAACTGTCCACCTACCCCTCCCCTGACCCAACATTAACCTAAACTTGTCGTCAATTGACTGTTGTTGAGTTAGGGGAGGGGTAGGTGGGCAGTTGCCCAGATACTGATATTGATCCGAGGCGAAAGGGAGGGATAGGCATAACTGTGAGGTGTGAGGGTCTACAAACACGCACGACGTCCTTTTAAGCCTAGTGGGAGGAATAAATGGGATAAAACGCACTTAGCAAATGCACGGAAATTCCAAATTTAAATTACAAGGGAATTTGGGGCGTTGGTAATTGATGGCTCTCGGTAAGATTAAGTTTCTAAGACTACAACATGACTGAAAAATATGTGCAAATGTCCTTACACAGAGACAGTTCAGAGTCCCAACAGGCTGGTACATTACGCTCTGGTTTTCCAGACTCCAGCCACTCGAAGAAATCCTACGAACAAAATAGGAATAACCTTAAAAATCGAGCAAGCAGTTTTAAATTTTTATATTAGGGGAACTCGGAGTTTGAGGATAATACCTCGAAAATACCTCATGTGGAAAGCATGTAGAAACGGTCAAACTAACTCAAATGTTTTTTTGTTACCTTACCTTGCGGTTCATTTGAATGTAAGCCTGAAGTTCTTTGAAAGCAGGTAACTTGGACAGACGGACCACAGCAGTTGCCTGGTAAAGAAATATGAAATATTGTTTCACACTAAGGAAGAGCACATAGACAGATCAGACCAAAAGAAAAAGACTGGTAGCCCAACAGAGAGACAGACGGAGAGCGTGGTCATAATATTCAAGCACAGTTACCTGTTCCGGTGAGAGTCCATCGATCTTTGGCGATTTTCCTGACAGGACAGTTTCTCCTCCTCGCAAAAACAGCTCAAACTCGTCCTCATACTCAGATTCACTGTAAAAGGTATCGGAGAATCAGAGGGTTTAATTTAATATTTTGAAGAGATCAATGGAGGTACGCACAGAGATGATGACTGCATTAAAATTTCATCTGAAATTACCAACAGCAAACGTTGAAAGGACAATTATCGAGTCAAATGATTCTGAAAGACGGTGAATTTTCATTTAGCGAAGATGGTGAATTTTCGTGATAAAAAGTATAGAGGAAAAAAATAAAAAAATTTGTAATAATGAATTATGGTACGCAAGTCGTCTGCTCCAAAAGGGAACCGGACCTCAGACTTTAGCAACCTAAGAGTTTGATGATTTAACCTTGAGTATGAACATTCAAATAAGGGTTTTAACGCAGCACTGATTTTTTCACATACAACGCTTTTGGAGTCAATGTCGTCAATCACAACCAAGGTAATCACAAAAGCCGATCAGAACAAAGGAAACAGCGCAAGGTACCAATCATAACTCAGAATAACAACAACAAGCAAAATGCCGGGTGTGCGGGAAAACACAAGTCAACAAGATGAGATTGGGTTGGTTAAGCTTCCGATTACTCGATAGGGTAGCGCGAATTTCCAAGAGAAGGGCAAACTAGGGTAAACTTAATGCAGCAACCTCATTGAAATTGTTCAATCAATCGTTCGTAATCGCGACAACTTACCCAGGCAGTCCACGGAGGAAGATTCGACACAGAAGCATAGCAAACGTGATTCTGTCGTCATGCATCATACCACGGGCGACTCTGTTGTACACGACCTACGGAAACCAAAAAATAAAACTTGTACTCCACGGTGCGTTTAACATGTAACTTCTCTTGACTTTGCCTGTAAAGTATCCAGCAAATAGTTGACGAGAATATGCTAGTTCTTCAGCTGGAGAATGTTACCTTGATAACAAATTCTTTCACATAACTTACAAAGGAAAGCATAGCAGATAGAGGGAGAATTACTAATCAGATCTATTACTCACCTGAAACAAGTCACTTGACAGAACTTTCAACCTTTGCTGAGGATCTTTCATTCCTTGAAGTTTTGGATTCTCGTACAACACACACTGGAAAATATCCAGGAAAAACTGGAGAGAGAACTGGTAAAGGAAATGGACCTGGAAAGGCAAAACAATAGAAAAAGATTGTCAGATAACAGATGAAAGGCAACAGGCCCATGAAGATATAGGTGTTACAGGCACACTTAAGCGAGTGTGTGCGCATTTAAACAGTTTCAATTTTTATTCCCTTCCTGCAAGTTATCCTCGAAAGCAGACCACGTAATCTCTCCTTATCTTTAGACCAATCACATACAAAACTAAAACAAATCTGGTCTTGGTCACTCGCGTTTTTCGGAGCTCTAGGCAGTTCTTTTGACTTCTCTTTGGTTTTTGGGATATTCTTAATTGTCCTTGTTCACCGTTGTGATGAACTGGGTTTGGCGCCAGGCTCTACCGCGTTGCTCACCAAGTTCAGGCCTTCCATAGTGAAGTAGATACTGCTACAGTAATGCGACAGCGCTCCATACTGGTCAGACACTGCTTCAACCTCAGCCATCACAACGTCCGTCTCTTCTACTTTACGAGTGATCTCAGCTGCTTCTTCCTTCAGCTTCTCAAGAGTTGCTATGATTCTGAGGAGAAGACAGAGCATGGCTGAATAAGCATCCTTTGCAACCACAAAAAATCACCACAGTTAAGAAGTGGTTTATATTCTCTTGAAGTGCCAGTGAATTTAAATAAGTCAACTGTCAGTTTTCCTTTTGGTAAACCTTATATTGCCAGCTTCCTCGTTGTAGATAAATCTTGCAAAAATCGTCTGAATTTTTCAAGGTTTTCATTCGCAATCTATATAAATCTTCTTCAGTCTTCAACTTACTAGTTCGCTTTCAGATCATATTCCTATTCAATCCCAGGGGGTGAGTTTCTTGTTGCATTTTTCAAAATTTCCTTCTTACCGATCATCATCGAGGATCCTTCCTTTAGCATCATTCAAAGCTTGCAACAAAGATTTCTCCAGATGCCGCAAACGAAGATGAAACTCGCCTGAGAACGAGACAGATATAGAGTAAGAGTTACAGCTCTTTTCTTTTTTTTTTCAAAGAACATACTGCTTTGGGTTAAACCTTACCAAAAATAAAAATTTTGAAAAAAATTGGAGTTACCTTGCAGCTTGAGTAGATCGGACCTCTTTTGATCAACATCAGGTCTTTCAGCTTTCAACACTTGATTCAAACACTGGCTCTGCAGACTGCTGCGAGTCACGGTGAAGTTAACGAATGTCACACGACTGCACAAGTCAGGAGCAAACTCCACCTGCAGTTACACGTTACAGTTACAAGGGTCATTTAACAGTTAAAAAGGAAGAACTGAGTCCCACTCTCTTGACAAAACGAAACAAATCTTTCGATAACATAAACAAAAATACAAATTCACCTTATCCAACCAAAATAAGCCCAAGTGAGGCTAGGTTGCTCAGTGAGCAAAACGTATGGATTTGTACCTCTGACGTTTAAATTACTTCTCAAAAGGGACGAAGAAACTTTGCAGCTTTTTTTCCTTTTTTCATTAATTTTTTGAGTTTGAGATGCCAAGTATAGTATGGTTCTCAGCTTACTGCAGTATTTTTCCTTACCGTAGGATCCCTTGTGGATAGGAAAATAGTAAACGACGGTGACAAATCGATATCTTGGTCTCCAATGGTGATAAGAACACGACCTCCTGTGCGACGAAGCTCACGGTTCAATACAGGGTTCAGGATTGGATCGTAGCTTTCAACATCCTGATATGAAAGTAAAACACAAGAAATACAGGAGAGCTACTAAAAAAAAAAACACCAAAAGAACTGCTTCAGACTGGCATAGTGAACGTATGGCGTTTTACGGTGGTGATAAAATAATGATTAAGGAAACAGAGAATCTTGCAGCCACAGAGAAGACAAATCGAAGCCCTTTGCCAACTTCGTTGATCCACTTTTCGTTATTCCTAAACAAATGCACTTACCTGAACAAGGAGCGGATTACCAAACCTCAGAGCACTTTCCAGATTCTTACGGAAGGCATCATCCAGGAAACTACAAGCATAAAAAGTAAAACTCAAACTGGCCAATTCAGACTGACCGCAACAACGACACCTTTATTGCAAAGTCAAGAGAACCATACAAACGGTACAACTTGAATCTTTCAACTCGGGGCGAAGAGGGGGGAGGAGAAAACACAACAAAATGGCGGACACAACAAAAAATCACTGTAGCCCAAGAGCCAAATGACCCACTCCCAGGCCCTTGGGGTGTGCGGGGAAAAATTGAGATTACAACCTATGTCATTCCACTCGGCCATTTAAAAATAATGTAAAAGTTGTCTTAATTACCTCGTCTTGCTGATCTTTTTTCCCTTGTATTCATTCAGCAAAAACTCAGTGGCTTGTCCAGACGGGTCAATGATCAGAGGGTAACGGTTAAACCTCTTCAGCATAATGGCGTTTTCTGTGCACAGGTCATCAGCTGGTAATGAGTTTGCCTGCCACTGGAGCCGTTCATCAGCAGTGGACAAATACTGCGAGTATCAAGCAAATATAAAATAAGTAATTAACTTACTGAAATTACTTTGAAAGGTGTTTCATTTCTAGAGCATGTTAGTTCATTTCCAGAATCTTACCTCTACTCTTGCAATATCAGGTCTAAACTGTATGTTTGCTTGTTGCAAATGAGAAGCCCAAGAGGTGAACAGATTCTGACGAAGTTGTTGATCAAAATAACCTGAAAACAAACAAACACGTTACTGAAAAATCACTTAATCACACGAAACTTTACCACTCAAAGGCTATGAACTAACTAAAATGCAAGCATCGTACAACTCTAGTATATCACACAATGTCAAACACATTGCGTGACAAGCCAAATAAATCCGCGTAGACGTAAAGGTGATTTCTTACCAGCATAGGCAAGGAACGCAGAGGAAAGAAGCACATCTCCAACAATAGTACCCATCTGAGTCTGGAATGCGTTGCTTCCAGTTTCCCATCTCTGTCTCTCCACAGACAGACTTCGTAGCAAAGCAGTGCTACGGCTCACCTGTGTGATAAAAACATCAGTAGTAGTGTAATTACATCACTATCAGTGTAACTATTACTGTAACAATACCGCTATCTTTGTCACACTTTTCCGACCTACATAAGGGCAAGAAATAGTTACTCTTCGTGTATTTGGCCAATGTGTACCCATGTGCAGTGCTGACCGGACGATGGTTGTATGGCATCCAAGAGGGGGAAAGGGCGTCAAAAATCTATTGTGAAGGTTTTAGGACATAGATTGATGTTTTAACCCATTTTCCACCAAAATTTGTCCAGGTTTACGACACGACGAACACGTCACCCTTTATTGTCTTCTTTTCTGCGTTAGGGTTAGGGTCACGTTAACAAGAACGCTGTCTCGCGTGCATGCGTATTGTAACGTTTATCGCTCCAGAAGTCACTTAAAGTGTGAGAATCTGACTTCCTATTGAATTAAACGAGTATTAACGCTTCAGTCAATGTTTATGTTCCTTAAAAATGTCACGGATTTAACGTCAGTACGACCCTTTGTTTTCAGTAAGACTTTCATCTAAGCTAATAGAGTTCATTGCAACACTCATTCGGTAGTATAGGTTTCAGTTTCCAAGTATCACCTTTGCTTCAACTGCTGCAAGGTCAGCTTTGATGGCCTGAGCCTGACTAATCAGTGCCGCGTATTCCTCCTTGTAGCGAGCAATGCTCTTCTCAAGTTCCGCAATCACGTGGCTAATCTCGTCCGCCTTGAAATGGAAATCAAACAAACAGAAGTGAAACTTTCCATTTATTCCACAGTGTTGATATTTTTTCCCAACTAGATAACAAGTTAACACTGAGTATATTACCGCAAGGTGGTTGAAATCGTCTCACACGGATTTCTCCTAGAGACACCTCAAAGGATACCAGAGATTCCTGGCCAACTGAAGTTATTTGTCCACTGGTAATTCGTAATCTCACCTTTATTCTGCTCGCCTGTGCTTCAATCTCCAAACTCTTCAGTTCATTTCTCAGAGGGTCGACTTTCGTCAGCATATCCGCATAACTTATCTGAAACATCACAAATTTATCTGTTAGTCTCTTGGTGCTGGTGTCTATCTAGATTTGAGTACAATCACGGCTCCAACTTTTTAATTTGAAACTTTCACTCTCAAAAGGGACCAATATGTAAGTTTTCCATACCAAATTAAAGGCAGATAGGTGATGACTATACAGGAAACTATAAAGTAGCGAATACTGCTCGATTTAACTCTAAATTCTCCGAAGTAACATCATGGGAAATAAATGACTGATAGTAAGGAGAGTCAAATTGAGATTAAGCATACCTGAGCGATAGCCCACTTAACAAGTGGACCACAGGCTAAACTGGCGCGGTTCACTTTTTCAAAGTTGTAGTCCGGGTTGCTAAGATACTTGTTTACCATAATCTTACGAATGTCATCTCTAGAAATTAAAAACACGGATTTATTATTTCACATAAAAAACAGACTCCTTAAAGATCAATTACGATGTCAGGCGACCCTTCAAACCAAGACTCAACGGAAAGAGATTTCCCTCAATGTTAGTAAGCTGAGTCATTCAGATCGATCCATATAAAAGGCTCGAAGTTCACCTTTTTGTCCACTTGCAAAGTTTTGTTGATAGGATTTTTTTCCCGCTAGCAAACTGGGGTGACCACTAACAAATTATTTCCCTTTGAAATGTCAATGACCATATGCGATTTACAGATATAATTTATATTTTGCACAGGTTATTAATGAGCTGAAAAGTTTAATAAAAAAGGTATCAAATATTTGGTATCCTTTGCTGTTGTCTTGACAGCCACTACCTATCTACTGCATGTTTGGGAGACATAGATGATTCTAAATAGCAAACGTTTGCTAGTGGATATCTTTCTCACTCGCAGATTATCAAAATCACTCGCATTGTGCGAGTTTGCGAGCGTTAATTTCGAGCCCTGATATAAATAAAAAGTGACCACAAGACTCCACCGTGAGCTACAGAAAAACAATAGGGTGAATCAGGCTACACGTGTCATATGTGGACCCTGTGATGGCCTGGCTTTCACCTACGAGTTTTCTGTAGCTCAGTGTAAGAACATCGGAGCGCGGAACCCGAATGTCTGAAGTTCGATGCTACGTAGAGGATCAGGACCATTCGTCTTTTAACGTATAAATCATGAAACCGTTACATACGATATGTCCTCTGTGGAAAAGTTCACAATGGTTGAGATAAAGTTGTCCTTGATGATAACACCACGGATGGTCCTCCAATCGGCTGCTTGCTCTCCAAGCAACAGACAAATGGATTCCAGTGCAAGTTTGACTGCTGGAGGTGGGTTACCCATGGAACGAACCTCGACAAGATGCTGTTTCTTGATCGACTTTACGGCTGCAAAGGGAAAAAACTTTCATTAAACTGACGAATTTTCCCGTACTGTGTTTTAATTTTTCTCCCATAATTGAATCATTTTCCTTACAAACCTCGTTATGAAGTTTGTATTAAAGCTTGCGAGAATGAGATGGAAGAAAAACACGGGCACAACAAAAAAAACTGCAAATTGCTGGAAAGGTATATTTGATACTCTACGAAACTGAAAAGTTAGCGAGTTAAATCACGATCTCAGCGAAAAACAAAATCTACAACAAACATCAGCCCAGAATTCGTCCACCGTTTCAACTCATCTCAATCTTTTCCATCATGGGTTGCTCGTCAAACTCACCCATCTTGGCGTCTTGCACAGCTGGTTCCACCTTAGACAGTTCATCCATCACACTGGATTGCTTCTCTTTGATCTCTGCAGTTTGTTTCTGTCACAGAACAAATGTTACGAGTTAAAACTCATTCACTACACTACAAAGTTCTTATAGCGATCACTAAAGTATTACCAGAACTAATGACTTGTACGCCTATTTTGTTAAGAAGCACATATGAGAAAATCTAGACTTACAAGACAACTATATTGGTTTTTAACTTTTTAGGTTGATATCCAGCCTGTTTAGCCTTTAAACCCCTTAGAGTGGTTGGCATCTAATTTCTCCCTACAATATCATCCCAGAATCACACATTAAGGTCATGAGAATAAAGGAAATGATCGCAAACTCAAGAAGCTCGTGATCGTTAGACGAATTCTCCTTGTCAGTACCATAGGAAATGCACAGTGAACGGTAGGGAGAATATGCATGTTGATGTAAGGCTTTAAAGGGCTAAGCAGCTCTATGTATACCTCGATTGTTGCTTGTATATCCATGGAAGTAACCTTTTTCTTCTCTGCCTCTTGTTGGTCTTTCACCTTGAAAAAAAGAAAAAATGAGACGTCCATTACAATGATCCCTACGGCACTATAGGACTATAAGAAAACAGTATTGATAATTCATTTACAAATGCATGTCATCTTAGATGTTTGGAGTGCATCATTTTATTAACCAGAAACTGTTTATAATCTAGACATTCCCCATATGAGCTTTTTAAAACTACTTTGATCTGTAAGAGTTGCGTTTGGAAAAAATACTTCACGAAACAAAAGCCAAACTTGTGCGTAAGACAATTTTTTTATCACGTGCTTCCCGAATAGAGGAAGCGTCTTTTCCCTTTTTTAAAAGGATTTCGCACAACATAGGAAACAAGAGATCAAATTTATCACTTTACGCGCTGTAAGGAAACTAACATGAAAACAAGTTTAACTTTTTACTTACCATCTGTTTCAGCTTCTGATTGGCTAAAGCATTCTTTGCCTCCAATTCCTGGCTCTTGAGTGACAAACTCTTTTGCAGCTCTTCCACCTAACGTGACATAATGTAACGCAATGTCACGTAACGGAAAAAAGCAATCTCTAACACGAACACCAACTCAGAAGAGTTATCCACAAGTTGTACTTTCAATAAGTCTTCGAAAAGTTCAAAGTACGGAAGTTGTTTCAATATCGCACTCAATGTTTCATGAAGAGCACTAGTTGCATCGTCACAAAGAGAGAGAGTTTACCTGGTCCACAGTTTCACGGATCTTTTGCAAACCCACATTAAGGTGAAGTTGTTGTTCTTCAAGGTCAGATCTCTTCTCATTGAACAATTTCACCTTAAAAAAAAAAAAGAGGACAAAATAATCACGTGACTGTAAGAAAATATGACCATTAGGGGATCAGACGAAGCTAAGTGAAATTCAACCAAGGTTACAATCAAGAAAAGGCTTTCAGGCCAGCGGCTGTTCCCTAAGCATACATGCATTGTCGAGATGGCCGCTGAGACTTTTGGGACAGATACTCGTGATAGTATAATCTAACTTCGCCTTCTATGCGAATACTTACGTAATGGTTAATAAAGTCTAGATAATGCCGAGGAGTGATAGCCATAACACGCCCTCCTCTCTTGGCTAAGCGTTCATTGGCTTGGTGCAAGGTTTGATGAACATAAACAAAAGCATTGATGACAACTTCTCTGTGGCTGGGTGTCATGGGCAGTTCTTCATACACCTTGGGGAGGTAGTCTGGTGGATTGTACTGGAGAGAGAATGACAGGGTCACGTTAAAGCTCAATCTACCAAGACATAAAAGCTACCTCTCCCAGCTGATGGCCTTCAGAGTTGACAACTCCCAAATTCTCATTATCCGTCTTTTTGACAAGGCATTAAAACTGCATCGAGAATTTACACAATGATTATTGGGACTCAAAGGGTACAGGTATGGTTGGGTCAGGAAACTGCTAAGGCTTTGTGTAAACTAGCGTAAAGCACACACACACTTGAGATATATCTAACAGAATTTTAATCACGCACTCCGGTGGTCTTCGAGAGTAGAGTGCAATCAACTTAGATTTAAATACTCTGCCGGCAAACAACTTGGAGGAATTTATGATAATCTGGTCAGAAATGAGGACTTCAACACAACGTTTCTAAATGACGTGGACTAGTGCAACTAGATGCGAGGCTTTCCTGAAGATTTTTACCAAAGATAGAAAAAGGGGATCACTATCAGTGTCTAAGTATCTGCACACCTACCCCTCCCCTAACCCAACAACAGTCAACTGATGACAAGTTAGGGTCAATGTTGGGTTAGGGGAGGGGTGGGTGCGCAGTTGTTCGGATAGAACCATTGATCCGAGATACACAACGATGCATCTAATAACCCCTTTGTTTGTTGGTTCGTTTTGTTTTGATTTTTTGCCCCGCAAACCTAAAAAAATAGCGTATCCAGAATGAGCAGAGAAGGCGGGACTCAACCAGGAGTCTTCCATGCAAATGTGATCAAGGCTTATGAAGAATTACACTTACATTAGACTTCTCCAAGTCAATCTTGCTGGTGAACTCTTTGCCAACTTGATAGAGCGCACCAGTGGACCAATCACCGAACCAGTTGAGGACACACCTGAAATGAAACAAGCAGGGATTGTGAGCCACTGGAAAAAAAAAGTCAAATGAAAAAACAAATGTGTACAGACGTGACAGCCTCGTAGATCTAAATATGTTTGACAGACGGTAATTATCTCTTAACCTTACTACTTGTGATTCTGGAAGACAAAAGCAATTCGCGCAAACCCTTTCACTCCTACTCTCCTTACTATCTGCCATATAATTCTTACGATGTTAGTTCTGAGAATTTGGTATTGGATCAACTAATGATTTCCTAATTCATATTTTTCTTAATTCTCATCACTTGTCTTGGATAGAAATTCTGTCTTGGATATCCATGGGAGTTGAAGGATTAAAAGCAGTATTCTGTCCACTAGTGGAAAGTTTGACTGAGCTTTCACGGCTTTTGCTATCGGTAAACACCATTCCAGAGTATAGAAGCATTGTGTAGTGAACTGTGCTGTATGTAAAAGGATAGAACCGCATTATGAAATCGGTTTATTAGCGAAATCTCACCTGTTGAACAAGGCAGGAGATGTGGCTGCTCGGCTTTTCAGACCTTCCGAGGAAGGATTCATAGTAAAAACAACGTGCAAGTTGTTCATAACCTATTAGATATGAAAAGGAATCGTAAGTAAAGAGATCGAGCAAAGCAATGCGTGCACCAGCCTCCGAACCAAGCGGAGTGGTTCAAAACTGACCAATCACAGTTAATGAAACCAACTAACGGTCTTTCAGCCAATAAGCCCTGACAGATTAGTTTTCACGGACCAGTCTGATAATACTCTACTGATAATCGACTTTCACTTGAACCTAATAATTACTTCTGCTAAGATTAAGGAAACGTCAGTCACATTCAACGATAAAATTCCTTCTCAGGACTACTCGCATCCAGGTGATGGCACAAAATGATCGATATCAGCTTTTTCAGGAATTGAGGTAAATTTTAGAAAGAAGGACGATAAAAGAAACCAATCCCTTAGGCTAGATAACTGGTTTTAATAAATGAGTCGATAATGTACGTTGGCCACCGTGAAGAGTTTCAAAAGCTGACGTTACGAGTGTTAGCTCTTAATCAGAGTGAATATTCGAAGGTCGGCTTCTCTCTGACGAAGGGCTACCGCTCGAAACGTCAGCTCTAGAAACTCTTTAAGTCGGCTAATTTACACTCTCAATCCAGTAGATAAACCGAATTATCGTGTAATACCCCCATCGACGCAGCATCATAGTTTCTTTACCAACTTGCCCCTTTTATTCAATCCCTTCTGCAACTGGCAAGAATGGTGGACAATATGAAGGACACACCTACCTGTTGTGTGAACCATTTGTAAAGCTCCTCGCTGCTGTCTAACATAAGACCGTCTCTTTGTGACCCTTCCTTACACTGCGTCATCAGAGTGGTGTACTCGTCTCCTTCAAACAATCCTGGAACCTGACAACAACAAACACTATATGAGGACACCATCACATAAAGTGCTGATAAAAAAGTTTTAATAAGAGCACTGCAAGTCCTAAACCAAAGTAATCATGTTGGCTAATCAGGAAAAAAGAAAATATTGAAGAAGGGCCAATGGGAAATCAAAGTATAAAACGCGGGAAAAGACCAGGAAACAAGTTGCAATTGGCTTCTATTTTCTTCTAATTGGTTATTAGAGGATGATGTGAGGATTTAAAAACGTACTACGTTGAAGGAAAAAAAAAAAAAAAAGAAAGAAAGAAAGAAAGAAAGAGAGAAAGAAACCAAAATCCTGGTGTACCTCTCCATTTGCCAGAAGTGTGTTCATCCTTTCCAGGAAGCTTGATTCCAGTATGTTAGATTCATCCAAAATGAAGACACTTTTCTCATTCTTGCAGCCTGCACGTCTGAGAACTGCTCGCAAGTCTTCATCAAAGTCTGCCGCCAAGTACTTTCGGTGAATCTAGTAACAAACCATCACATTTATCACTAGGCAACCATTGCACAAGCAGGTTACACAACATTAACGTGAGCTCACTTTCAGCGGGGCCCAGAGTGAGCTTGTAGTTTGAGACCAAAAACCAAAGGATAGGTAATCGCAACGGCCAATCAAAACTAACGAAAATGTCACAAGGGACCAATGAGAACTCGTGATAAAAACAAACCACCTCAAGCGCGGAAAAACGCGAGCGACCAAGCCCCAATTAGTTTCAGTATTGCCCCTGATTGGTTGAAAGGGTGGCATGAGTTTTCTAGACCAATCACAAGGAAAATTAAAGCAAAACCAAGAGTCAACTAGAAAAAACTCTAAACGAAGTAAACAAACCTTGACTTGGAAGACTTTCAGACCATTCATCCATGCCACAAATCTTGACAGCGTAGTTTTACCAGCTCCACTAACACCAATTAACAACAAGTGCCCCTGTGGAGGGAAAAAATAGCAAAGATGACTATGAAACGTTGCATATCCGGTGCTGGGTAAGATCGCGAGTTACACACATACGAGAGATCCAACACTCTCCCACGCACCTTCGCGCTTGAAAGGTCGCAACAGCGGATGCCGGTCAAATTCACGGAGAAGAAAGGTGAAGGAAATTCTGATACATGGGGGTGAAGATAAATACCAAGCAAGGTAAGGTTATGCACTTACTTGTGGCTGTCTAAAGATTCTGTCAATTCGTAGAACATGGTCAAGCACTTCATTAAATAACACCAAAGGAACATCCAACTCTTCTTCATAAAACACCTGTTCCAAACAGATAAATAAAAACAACCAAAATCATCAAAATGTGATACAAACATTAGAGGGCAAACAGCTGTTTGTCTGCTGTTCTTAGTAACCACTATCTATAATGACTATCAACTCGATAAATCTTTCCTTTCAATTCATCAAACATCTCAGTGCATTTTAAAGAAACAACTGTGAAATACCGCACGGTAAGTGTTACTGCATTGCCAACAATTTACCGAAAATTTCTCGACTCGTGATCGATTGATGTTCGTCTGTCGACCGACTTACTCTGACGACCCTTTATTCACACCCAGTTTTCTGACAGCTCCACAGAGGAAGCATTTTCTTCCCTTGTATCCAACTTTCAACAAACTCAGGTGATTTTTACCTTTAGCCTTGCTTTGACAAAGTCTCTGAGTTCTTCCTGCTCCACAGGCATGTAGTCCTTCGACAGCCAGTTACTGTACAAGATTGGTCGAGCAAGGGCAGTATTACGATCTATGTTCGGAAAGTGTTTCAAGGCTATATTGTTGATATTCTCTTCTGTCCACTTACGCTCATCATCTTCGACCAGCCTGGAAGACAATCAAGCAATAAATATATCTACACCTTATTTCCATACGATAGCAAGCTCTCATTTTAATAATGAAAGACCCGAGTCACTCGGTTTCTTCGTCTGCGGGAAGATTAGAGGCGAGTCGGGAAGAGGTTTGCCGGAAGACTGGCACTAATAATAACCTCATTATCAGTACCAAACCCCTTGCAGACCTCTATCCGATTTGCTAGGCTCGACGCCTCATACTTTCCTGAGGGCAAAGAAAAGCTCGTGCCCAGTGCCCAGGCGCCAATAATGAGGGTCTACCCCAGGCTATCCTCAATTTACATCAGAACTTCGTTACACAGACAAAGATGGTAAACATGAGAAAAATCATAGAATAACTACTTTCTATTTTGTGTTATGTTTTACTTGACAACTCAAAATTAGAGTATAATCGAGTGAAAGTCTCGAAACTGTTGTAATTCTACTCTCCTACAAAACACCCAGCCCCTCAATTCTTACCTGTCTTGGAAGAGACGCAGTGCTTCGTGAGCCCACAGGCGAACAAGTCCTTCGACTGACAAAGTCTCCAATGGCTTCAATGCTTCACAGATTCCTCTTACCCATCGAGTCATTTCTCGAGGGCTGTAAATGTAATGCGGCTGCATGTCTTGAGTGAAGCGTTCCTACAAGGAAAAAGGTTACTCCGCTAAAAATCATGGTAAATCTCAGTCCTGATAAATCAAATCTTTTCCAGGCTAAGCGAGTTGCTTTTTGCAATTTCATCTTTACAATTGTCGAAAAACACAAGTCCAGGATTTATTCTTTTGACATTAGTTGGTATCCAATTTCTCCATACATTATCACCTCTGAGTCATACATAACACTCAAGAGAATAAGCGAATTGATCGCCAACCAAAGAGGCGCTAGCTTGTTTAACAAATTCTTCTTGTCAGTACTGTAGGATATGTTTTAGACAACAGTACGGAAAATATGCATTCTTATGATAGGGTGTAACCCACTAAGCTCACAAGGAAACTATCATTTGTTTCATTGCCTGCCAAAACTTGGAGCAGAGGGATAGACGGGGAAGTACATTTTGTATCAATTTATTTGCTTACAATAGAATAAAGTTTTGTTGTTGTTGCCATTTGTGACAGAAAAAGAGCTATCCTCTTTTTGCTTCTCACACTCACTCAATTCTACTATCAGCGCAAGCTTATTTTTTGCCGTAAACTAACTAGCATCAAAGCTTAATCCTTCTGTACTATACATATTTCACCCACTTGAGACATGGAGTAGAACTCCACCATAGCATCAGTCAGGGGCTGAGCATAGCTTCTCAGCGGAGGAACAATTCTCAGCATTGCACGATTGAATGTTCCATAGATCTGGGTCAGTGAGGTAGGACCTGGATAGTCCACATATATGACTGGAACGTGACGCAAGAATCTGAAAATAGATATCGTTATATTTAGAGCTTGGAGCTTTCAACTGTCTGTTTAGCTTAAGAGCAGGCTCTCCTGCTTGGGTTTCGCCTCATAGCACAGCCGCCTATAACACCGTTAGCAGCCGCTTATAGAAAAATCTGTTGAAACCCCTCCTTAAACAATGAGGTTATTTCTTTGATCTTGCAGCGATTCTCCGTTAAAGTAAAGACAACAGAAGCAGAATGTTAACACCTATAAAAGTTCAGCATCCTCAGCGTCCATGTTGGTTGTATTGCCGCTGAGTGGTAAATCGCGGACTCGGTTGTCACTGATCGCTGCGATCGGCTGCGATTATATGTGAACATGCGATTCGCGATCTTCGGTTGAGTGGTTTCAGCGATCGTGCGATCACAGGCGATCGTCTGCGATTATATGTGAACCAGGCTTAAGGTCTGTGTGTGATATTTGATTTGGGCCTCGCCCACATCAAATATCACACGGTCGAAATCTCGCGCTGATAATCTTAATCTTGTTGCTCATCAAATACTTTAAGAATGTTTATAACCTGTGTGACAGAGGCTTCCTGCCTGGATCGGTGGGTGGATTACAAGCTCCGACGAACTGGATCCTCTCTATTGTTACCCAGGCCTGGTCACTGGTGCGGTAGAATCCGCCATGCTCTACAATTTGTCTCAGGAAGGAGATGACACGCTGAGTTCCTGAGGTATAATTACAACAAGTATATTTGTGAACATGATGTTTTTCATCAGTTAAAAAGGTTTGCACGAAGACAAAAAATTACAGTGTTTTCAACACGAGTTGTCCGAATGGTTTTTAGTCTATATATATTCTCTCAAGTACAAGTCATAAATATTTAATCATGTTGTATGATCGTCCGGATGAGGGCAGTGAATATGACGTTCATTTTCACTAGGGTTTTCGAAAAGTTAGTCACATCTTCCGACAACAGTACCTCTCTGGACTACCCTCACCCAGACGATCAGACTCCACGATCAAACGTTACCCCCGGATTAAAAATATTAGCTGAATAACTATGTTGGCGAATGTTCGCATACACATTAGCAACTAACTTCTACAAGCACAAGATCTTAAGCTACCCATGAATTCATCTTGTTTACCACATAAAAAAAAAAAACACTCATCCGAAGTAAATGTCACTTTTTCTCTTGATACAGATCTATATATCCACTACGACTGGATGGAACGTAATCTGGTAACAGTTGACAATTTAAACGAGGGGAATCGTTGTTGAAAGCAACAGCCATTTTTTTTAAACTAAAGAGAGATTAAAGACACGGTTCAGCTTTGCGAAAACTGAATTTCCAATTGCTTGAGATGAAGAATATGTTTTCATTTCAGGGAGGGGGTGGGATAGTTTATAGGGTTTGTCTATGTACCATAACTGTCCATGTCTGGAAGATTGATCTCATCACAGAACAGCACCATCCACTTTCCAAGTTGTACAGGAGCAAGGACGATTCCATTCGGAGTTCTTCTGTACTCACAATAATGATCGAAAGTTTTCAGGAGCAGCTCAGGGGAGGTAGCACTGGAGAAATTCAAACCAACAACCTAAGAGCAACAAAATAAAATATTTGGGGATAATTAGTTGATCCAATTCTTAATTCTCTCAACTGACATTAGAGGAATTGTATGGTCGACAGTGAGGAGAATGACAAATTTGATCTGGGAGTTAAAGGGTTAAATATATAGTTATGCAGTACGATTCAAAGTCGACAGTAAATCTGCAAGAAGCTAACATTTCCACGCGTCTAATTCAATATCTCCCACTTGCACTTAAATCACGTTGTACCCACCTCCATATCAGGAAGAGCTCTCAAGGCACTGAAGAGTGTCATAGTCTTGCCGCTGCCAGGGGGTCCACAGAGCACCATGGGTTTGTGCTCCGCTAGCCAGGTGTACAGAAGAGCTTCATGTCGCACAGTGTCGACTGTTGGTACCACAATATCGGGGGCTGCCACCTTATGCGTTTCTACCTCAATCTGAGGAACCTTTGACTGCCATAGTGCCCATTCACCTTGGATTGTAACCTGAAAAGAAAAAGGGCAAAATATTGATAAACATTTTAATTCTTACCACAGGCTAAGTGCATTCGAATGCAGAAAGAGGATGAGAAAAAGAAAAACATTCCACGTAACGATTCCTACAGGGAATGAATTTTGAAATTTTTCTGAAAGGCATAACACAACGGCAGTGGCCAAGGTTCGACCAAAGGCGTAGAGCAACAAAAATGATGCGAAAAACATTTAAAACTTTAAAGGTCAGGAATGCAAATAAAAACCACTTCAGATAGGGCCTACATGTACAAATCCACGTTAAGATAGGTCTTCATTGTTTAACACGTTGAATGCAGTCAGTCACTCATTCACAGTAAAGGTAAGCATCCTTATTGCTCGAACTCTCTTATGTGTTAAATTACTACTTTTTATGTTTACAAACTTCTTGTACCTCATAATCAACAATGGACTGTGATGAGCTGGCAGGCAAAGGAATTGTAGTGATGCTCTTGATGAAGTTTCCCAAGTCTTCTCTCGTCTTCAGCTTACAGTCACCGGAGAAAGCCCAAAGAATACAGAAGATCAAGTAGCGTGGGACGTAACGTTCAATCTGATCTCTCTGTCATTAAAACAAAAACAAAAACAAAAAATGCTATTTAGCCCTTTTCGATTGAGTGGCGTAAAGCCAAAACCAAAAGAATCACACCTGCCAATCACAGCAAAGGAAAACATTACAAGGAGCCTATCAGAACTCACAGTAAGAACAAGCAAACTGCGTGAAGCGCGGGAAAACGCGAGTGGCCATGACGCGGTTGGTTTACGTTTTGCATCTGATTGGTTGAGAAGGTGACGCGAGACTTTTAGGCCAATTAAGGAAGAAAGTAAAGCAAAACCAAATCGATCTCGAATTAGTTTTGACATTCCATTTCTAAAAGTACGAGTACACTTCTGCATAAAGTTCAATTACAAAGAAACTCCTTTCGATCCTAAATTATGATAGTCACAGAATAGTAGTCCAGTGGACAAACTGAGCTGAAGTCATCGTTGGAGTCAGGCAAGAAAGCGAGAAGCACAGGCAAACATATCAGCTTCAAGGTTCTATCTTGATATAATTCCAAATTCCCCTTACTAAGTTTCAAGAAAATACAAGTACACATAATGGCGAACAAAAAGGAGAATTACTAATTATATCTTGGGAGTTCAAGGATTAAAAAGATGTCCGCACTAACCTCCATTGGAAAATCCGGATGTTGTTGATTGTACTGAAGAACATTCCTGATTCCTTGATGGATCATGGAGAAGAGCGATTCCAGTGCCCTCATGCGAGTAAAGTCCATGATATGTTCCTGCTTGAATGCAAACTCCAAGCTCTTTACCACAAGACCGTTAGATGAGAAGTGCTCATGAATAATGTCTACAAAATCACACTGGACCTGTGGATTTACAAAACATGGGTTAAGATTTGGAAACCACATCGAGATAAATAACGGAGAGCTTGAGAGTTGATGAATCGTCGATCCAACAAAGTCAATCACCAAGGGTTTTGCGAGCTCTTATGGCCAGCAGGCACTGTCACAAGAGCAGGCTCAAGGGGAATGTTGCAACTTTGTTCCGACTGTTATCTTTGAATTCTCGATTGTTTGGCGGCAGCTGTTCCTCAGTAGTTTAGTTTACACACACAACCATGTTTTCGAGAGAATGACCCGGTATTTGTTTGCACCATACCTGCATTGTTGGTGACAAGGCGTCTTCAGCCTTTCCTTGGGGTTTGATTCTCCTGATCTCTTCTTCAACCTCCTCCACTGGTACTTTCTTCATCTGAAGCAGGTGATTGTCAAAAATCATTTCCGTCGACAAAACGTCCTCACTGAACCAAACCATTCCACAACGGCTGACTGTAGCAAGAGTGGCGAAACGTAGATCTTGTACTTCAAACATGATTCGCACCTGCAAAAGAGATGTTTAACATAACAAATTGGGTGAATCAAATTCAACACTCCTCTAACTTGTCTTAAACCATAGAAGAGTTCCGGAGGGCCCGTTTCTGAAAGGTCCCTATAACTTAGCGGGCTCGTTAAGCTGTTCTGTTTTCATTCAAGATGGGGGTTTAAATTTTTTTTTTTAAATGATGACGCAAAGCTATCAGCTAAGGAAACAAAATAGACTGGTTAGGGCGCCACAACCTGCTTCTCAATTCTTTAATTTTGATTCTCAAACATGGCTTCGGGCCCGTTCAGTTACCGGGACTTTCGAGAAATGGGACCCAGGTGACTTACATTAGATGGAATTCCAAGACGTTCCCCATTTGGCAGAGTGAGCAACTTATTGTCATCCAGGACACTGTTTAAATTCTCCACCCACTCCGGATCAACATCGCCATCAAAAATGATCCACTGTCTTTTGTTAATCTCACCACGGACATTGTCAATGATCCTTGGATGCAGAGAAACAAAACATCAGACACTTCAAAAAGTACTAGAACTAGAAACATTTGACACTGCCTTGTTCAGTCAATCATCAAAATAGCAAACTTACTTTCTGAGAATGTGAGTGAACAACCCATCTGTCCACTCTCTTGTATTGGGATCAAGAGTTCCATACAAAGCTTCCTTGGAAATGGCCTGGAATGAAAAAAATCATTTAAGCCAGTCACTTTACCGTTTACACCTTAACAATAGTATGCACATTCTCTATACAATTCCTAAAGCGCTGACAAGTAAAATTTGTTTCAGAGTCAAGAGCTTGTGTGGTAGGTGACCACTTCCTTTATCCTCGTGACCTTGTGTTTGATTCAGGGGTGATACTGGAGGTAAGTTAGATGCTAGTCACTCTTAGGGGTTAAAGTTAAGTATTTCAAATATTTGAAACCAGTTATCGAAGGCTCCTGCAGCCCAGATAAATCCTCGATGTGTTTCAAAAGAATTAAAAAATTATTTCAAGTGATTACGACAGTTAACAACATGTAAAAAGAATGATTTAGTAGCGCTGTAAAGTAACTGTACCTTGGGGTCAACAACATGTGCCACACCCTCTACGCCCTCTAAATTTTCCAAAGCCTTTAACAGAGTGCGCCAAGCTGTAGATTTTCCGCTTCCACTCGGTCCAACCATCATCAATCCATGATGAATCTGGGATATCTGATACAACTGAAGGATCTAAAACAACAGTAACACGGAAAACAGCATCATAAGAACTATATTTCCTGAAATTATCATATTAATTCTGTATCAGAGCAAAGAAAGTACGGACATCACCCAAGTTTCACTGCAATGATACGATCGTCTTGTAAAGGTGTAACGATGAACTCTTACAGTGCTAAAAACCGAGGGAGTCACTAGCTGTGAATTTCAGTTCTTAACCTCTTTCTCTCTACGATCTCAATAATAACTCTCCTTACTGTCTGCTGTACATTTCTTTGAATTTTGGCTCGAGAATTTAAAGTTAAATCAAACACGTCCCCTAACTGATACTTTTCACCGCCTTTCTACCAAACCATAATTGACATAATGCAGAGAAATTACCTTTTTAGTCAATCATGACAAAGAAAGGCAAATGCGCAACTACCTTTATACTAAAATGAATCTTTGTTATCTGCTGTTCTTAAATCTCATACATGAAGCTTTAAACCAAAAACCTTTGCGTTAGAAACCAATTTCAATTAACCGTTCCATGCCAAGATGCTGCAATATTTATGCGATTGGTTACGATAGACAAACAACTCCCCACCTTCTCCACCCATGCGCCACCTTGTTCTTCTCCATCCCCATACACAAGGTGCGTCTCAGCACAAACTTTCTTTATCTCGGCCTTAAGGCTTGTCATCTCGGCGCCAACATAACGAACTCCTGGGAAAACATCTGACAACAGACTCTGAAGAAGAGGAATATCTTCTGCCACAAGCTTTGGTACAACTGTCTCGTAAACACTCTGGATCAAAATCTAGACGGATAAAAAAATGGCAGCATTCTGAATGTTAAATTTATTTTAACCAACAACTACGCTGAAGGGGAAGTGTTATAATTTCATTTTAAACTTTCTAAAACATTAAAAGGATTGCATTCAACCAATAGAGGGCTTGAGCTTGAGCTTGATTTGATAAGACCAAGGTTTGAAATTTACTTTGCTCAGAGTTGCATCACTAAAAATTGCCGAAATCTTCTCGACGTAAACCTTGAACATTGTAGAAAAAGATGACAGTCTGTTTATAAGAGAGTATCACGCAAAATTAAGAATACGCAAGTATTTTATGATCAAATTCCATACTTCAACTTCGTTCAAATTTCCCAGCCTCTGTTTTAAGGTACCATGATGCATTGTGATGCGTGACGATGAGTTTGACATTAGGGAAATAAAGTTTCAACAGAAAAAACTGAACCACAACATATATAGTTAAACATCACAAAAATGATAAAAGGCCACTTTCAGTGCAAAGGACTATGGATTGCTGTGAAATTTTACATCAAATTTCTAAACAAACCTCTTGTTCATTAAGCCGCTCAGAGATTGCTGCTTCGTCAGCTTCCTGGCCTTCTTCAGTCAAACTTTCTTTTATTCTCTGGATCTTCTCGCGTTTGACATTACCAGCACTGACCAGTACACTCTTCAATGCGCGGAGGCCAAAGTCATAATGAGACTGGTTAGACAACTGCTCTCCACATAATCTGTAAAATAAATGACAAAATGAATTTATCTTAACCCTTAAATCACCCCCCCCCCCCACAAGTGATTAACATGTAACTTCTCTTTACAATATCCGCACAATATCTAACAAACAGGTAATGAGAATGATCAATGAGAACACTCAAACTAGTTGAAGTTGTTATCTTGATCTAACACCAACTTTTGTAACTAATTTACAAGGAATTGTGAAGTAGCTAGAAGCGAGAATTTACAATCAGATCTTGAGAGTAGAACGGTTAAGACTGGGAATCCTGTGCACGTTGCTTAATACGTTTAGGATAAGTGAGGCATTGAGGCTTAAGAAAACTGACAAATTCTCCTTGTCCGCACCTTAAGAAATGTACAGAGAACAGTACGGAGAATATGCAAACTGATGTTAGGGGGTGTAAAGGGTTAGCATTTCCAACCAAAAACTAATGAACATCTACCCTAGACTGCCACAACCGTTAATAGAAAATTTATCGGCTACAAAGATCATTTTCGTTTATCTTCAATGTCAGTTTGTAACAACTAGAAGTTGATTATTAAATATCGCAATTATTGCTTACTTGAAGAATGGAACAATCTTTGTGGCTAGTTTCTCTGCAGTTCTGAAACCCTGTGAGTACAGCATGACCTGAGCAATAAGCTGTCGGTCAGGAGTAGTCATGGCCAAGCTGCGGAACAACTTTTTCAAGTTGTCTGGGAGGTTGGAACGTCCAGCATAACCTGGGTTCATTGTAATGAAGATTGCCATGTCGCGGCTTACTCTCACTTGCTTGCCCACCAGTTCAATAGTGATTGGTGCAGCTGGAAAATATCAAATCAACATCATCCATTGTCATTAATACTGCCTGATAGTGTTCTTTGAGAAAATCAATATTAGAGAAATTTTCAGTTGAATGGCAAAAGTTATCCAGGACTGTATTGCTTTTTCTTTCCTTTGCTCCTATGTCTTAAGTCTAAATACCTGTGTTCCCCTCTCAACATCCTCTAAAACCAAACAAAATATTTGCATTGTCCTGCACTTCCGGTAAAAAGCTTTTTTCTTCTTTGATTTCTTATTGGCTCTAAGGTATTTTCGTTCACACTGGTCACCTGCTGTGTTTATTTTGTCTACGTTTTTTTTTTTTTTTAACGATACTCATCATACAAAATCCACGTCCTTAACGCCCAAGTAAAATTCATCCAAACATTTTCTTCATAATAACTTTGTTAAATGTCAATAGCTTGATTACACCTTAAAAAATGTTCAATCCTCTCACAGATTAGATTCAAAGGAATAAATAAACTTTAATAAGAACTACTTGTTTATTTCCTTCCTTACATAGATCAGTGCTGCCTTCTCTGAGAGAGAGCTGAATGGTCTGAATCTGTTGCGAAACAGCTGACAACATTCTTTCTTCCAGACGGTTGAACTCGTCAAAGCAGCCCCATGCACCCACTTGGCACAAACCGACAAAGATACGACCCATGGCCTGGAAAAAAGACGATGATGGTTGAAATAGACTGAGATTAGATCCAAGAGGGCAAGATTGGGAGAAAGTATCTCAGACTTAAACACAAAGTCACTTACCTGGAAGTCAAATGTTTCATCACAGTTGAAGACCAACACAAATCTTCCCAGTTGATGACCAAGAGCTTTAACCGATTCTGTTTTTCCTGTTCCAGCAGGACCTAAACACAATTAATCGAAAAGCAATCAGTAAAAGGAAAAATAACCAGGAAAAGGATGAAAAAAGATGAGAACTCTACAGACTCATTTTCGATATTATTCCAGAATACAAAGTCCAATTTCTCCCTTCCATTTGTTCCACATTTCCTTGTGTAAGAATAAGGAGAATTCGGTGTTATATCAAGATTACACCCTTCAGCAGACAAGCATTTCTATTCTCATCACCAGCTCTCTGGATAACGTATTGGTATTGTAAGGAGAAAATAAATATGCTTTGCAGCTGGAAGTACGAGGATTTAGTACTGAAGAAAAACCAATTTTCTTGGAATGGGGGCAGGGTCCTTGACCGTGATCTATGTAGACAAGTAAAAATTTAAGCATGAGGAGCTATTTGAGATTCCGATACAACAAGCCCAATCATACTGCAAACGTCTTTACTAAAAGAAAAAACAGTACAATAACCACTAACTAACCAAAGGGTGACCCTCCTAATCTTCCCTCTAAGGCCTGTGTCATGGTAAGATAGCAGCGATCTGTCAGGGGGGTCTGGACAAGCTTGTCTTGGACTCCAAGGTACTCAAATCCATAATTAAACTTGGCATTGGCCATGTGGATTGAAAGCTGTTGTAGGACGTCTTTCTGTTTTGGGTCAAAGTAGAATCTCATCTGACAGAGCCACTCAAAAGCTTTTGTGTTGGAGACTTGAGTGTTGATCAGCTGGCGTGTGACGTCACGTTGATGTACATGTTCAATGATCTGAAACAGAAAATGAAAAGAATGTTTTCAAAAATTAAATCATCGTTGATTATTACCTACAGCTGAATAACGGGGTTAGTTTTTTAAGAAACTATGGTGCTGCGTCGGTGAGAGAGTATAACAGGGTAATTAAGTATTATTAACTAAGTTGATAACGTAAATTGGCCACCGTAAAGAGTTTCAAAGCAGCCGAAGGGCTAACGCTCGAAACATCAGCTTTAAAACTCTTTACGATGGCCAATCTACGTTATCAACTCTGTTGACAATGCTTAATTACCCTATTACCTACAGCACCGAGTTCCGCAGTTTGAAAACTAATCTCTATGAACTGTACAGTAACAGATCTCTACCATTAAGATTCGTTTGAATTATAGTTGAGCCCACGGCAACCTCAGTTAAAACAAATTTTAAACTGTAATCGACTTGACTAATTTCACAGGATGAAACTATTTACAGTCGCTCACCAAGTGCTCCAGTTTGAACCCATGGCTACCTCAGTTAAAACAAATTTTAAACTTCAGTCGACTTAACTTCTTTTTACAAGATGAAACCATTTGCTCACCAAGTGCTCCAGCTTGCGTCGCCTTACTGGAGGCTGTTCTTGTAACACAGAGTCAGCCAGGATGTTCAGCGTTGCTTCAACCACTCTAAGAACCTTCATCATTGGCCCCAGGTCTTTTTGGTTTGATGACGAGGAGATGGCTTGCAGTGCTTCCTCACAGCTTTCTGACCAAGCAATCTGGGAGGCTAGTACCACAAGTTGAGCCTGCAAGACGGAAACGATCAAACTTAGTATCAAGAAGACAACATTTAATTAACCCGATCCTAACACAAGAAATCTCCTTCTTTACCTGGTAGCCATCGACCCAGTGCATGTACTTTTGCCCATCAATGGATTCAGAGTTGAACTGCTGTATTTCAGTCACTGCTGTGGCCAATAATGTAGCCAGGGTGGTGCGCATTTCAGTCTCAACACATGTCAGCCATTCATTGACCTTGGGGTGTTCTTTCAAAGACACAGCTTTCTTGAAAACCACCTAGTGACAGAGAGCAGAATATATTTAAACACTTTACAATCTACTTAAGAACTTCCCAAAGTTGATAAGTTTGTCGCTTTGATCAAAACTACACCAAAATTCTCGGACGTGATTGGTTATCACCAGCCCGATTTGAGCACAGTATACGCGTCATGCTTGTAATTGGACAGTGTAATAGGACAGTTAAAGGGACAGTTAACACGTCATGCCTGTGTAAGTGGTAAGAACGCGTCATGTGCGCGCTTTTGTCTCGCATTTCGCCGAGTTAAATGTTGTTGTTTTTTATGAAACGTACAACCGATGTCTTGTTTCTTTCACAAATTTTGTCAAAGTTTTGATTAATTGGTAACAGGACTTCGTCTCATCCAATTCTTTTTGTGATCATACTCGTGATTAACAAATCGGACTTCCGCTTTGTGGTCGTCCGCTTTTGTTAATCAATCGCATAATTACAGACCGTATTGGACTCCACTTAGTCCTATTACGATTATAAATTGGCTAGCACTCTAATTTTCAAATATATTTACACTGCCACTATTGTTACCAAACTTGCTTAGAACAAAACACAAAGCATTCAGAGAAAACCAATAATGATTCCAAATACATTTGATTGTTGCAATCGGTGCCCGCGACCAATGCAAGCAAAGATGTCTGGGGGCTTAGATATAACTGTTTGTTAAATTTATGTTGATGGATTGGTCTGTTATTTATGAGTAATCCTTCTGAAAGTGTTGACACTTGAATTTATCATCTATTAATCAATCAATCAATCAGTGTAGCAGAGCATCTAAGGCTGATGGTAAAACTATTAGTTACAGAGATAAAAACTTGCACAATCTGTAAGTATATATATATATATAGGTAAGCAGGGATACAACTGACTAAGAAGCAATGCTGTTAAGTTGAAGCCAGATTCTAATCCAGTGAACGACGAAGGTAAAGGGCAACTGAAAGAGATGATACTGTCGAGATTTGTCCATTACATATACAATTATTTAAACGTGGAACAGTAAGTTGTGCAAAAGTAATGCAAACGAAAGACGTTTTTTGTTCTAGCGATCTCTCGTCGAAAGTCTGAGCGAAAATTCGATCGAAAGTTCGTGGCCTTTTAGGCGACATTTCGTCTGAGCAAAGGACGCTTTTTCATTGAATTTTCGATATGAAGCGAACATTCGCGAGGAAAAGCGTCAATTCGATCAACAGTGTTCGAAATTTTGCTTCGACCTGACAATAGACTCCCCCCAGTGATCAAATAGTTCTATTAGCCATTTTAGAACAAACAAATGATATGTTTTACCTCTTCTCCTTCCTTGGAACTCAAACCAGTTATTAAAGTCTCATCTTCATTAAGAACAATGGCTGCCACACCAGCGAACATCTTCTTGAAGTGCTTTTGTAGTTTTGGAATGCTCTTGCTGTTTCCAATAATCTCAAGTAAGTCTTCATCTCCCACAAAGTAGAATCTTGGAAATGATGCTCTCTCCCTCTCCAGGTATTCACCCAGAGCTTTTTGGATTTTACCAAGCAGATCAGCAAGACGTTCCAACTGTCTCTGAACACCTTGAATGTTCAGCACATCTACAATCAAGGGAGTCTTTGCCACTTTCTTCATCAGTGTCAGGAATTCTGTGCTGATGCTGGGATAAAATAAAAGAACAACAAAAAATGTTGATAACAATTATTACAAAAAAACAAAGAATACTGCCTTTTCTCCTTTAAACAAAATGCAGAAATTGTCCAACTACATTGACATTTATACAAAACATGGTTAATATTATATATTTCCCATTAAAAAAAAGTCTTTTAAGGTTTTTTATAAATTCATGACCTGTGATTGTGATCACTCACATTTTAGCCAGAATGCCGACAAAAGTTTGAAATATCTTTCACACGTCAAAAGGGCAAGTCTCTAAAAGAGGGGTATATGAGACCCTCTGCAAAACTTCAGTTATAAATGCACATCTGATTTTGAGCAAAATTTCATCAGTTCTCTAACTTAAAAAATATTAGTCCCTTTAACTGGTGGCAATTACATTCATTCCTATTCCATAAAATAAAAATACCCACCTCTGGAATCGCTGAGTCTCCACTGGAAGAAGAGCCTTGATATCAGCACTGCCACTGAAGATACCATCCAGGTACACCCATCGGCGCTGGACATCAATCCACACGTCAAACACATCATGAATGCGATTCAACTTCTCCTCCCATTGAAGAGCATCTTCTTCAAAGACCTGAGGAAAAATGGCAGTTTTATAGATAACATATCATAACTTTCTAATCTGCCTCCTGTTTCTTGAAAATCCCAGGCATTTCCGATTCTGAAAAGCTGTCACTTGTTTGCTGTGTTCATATTCAAGATTGAAACATTCACAGTTTTGAAACCTGCTCAAAACTGGGAATGTCTTGTTTAGAATTAGTCTATGTTGAACACGAAGGTCCTAACCAAATTTAAGTATGATCAGGAAACTTCCTTGTCTGTCTACTCAAAATGAAAAGAAAACTAAAAAAAATTGAGCAGCATTTCACAACCTTTCAATTGCATCAAGAGTAAATTATACTCAAGCCACACAAGTGTACATCATACCTTGTAGTATGGAGAGAGTTTCATGGCAGAGACGCTGTTAATGTGCTCCTTGACTTTAGTGAACAGGTCATCCCAACCGCGGATGATACGGCATTTGTTCTGGTAGTTCACCAGCTCCAATTCATAGCTCTGCCATACATCTCGCACCTGTAGCCATGAGGAAAGTAGAAAAACCAAGATTGAAAGTTCACATGTACTTAAAAAATGAGCGACTTGTCAAAAAAAAAAAGAGAAAATGTTGGCTTGGGGAAAATACAGGCCCTGCATTCAACTCTAACAAAACTGAGAAGGGGGGGGGGTAATCTTAGAGGACCGCTGTGGATACAAGTGACTTAATTTTGACAACCTGTGAAGAAGTCCTCATCAGAGTCAAATGAAATTGAAAAAGAATCACCTGTTTCAAGAATTCCTCCAAAGCCATTTCTCCCTGAGCAACAAGGATGACATCTTTGACAATTCCCTCATTCTTCTGAAGATCTACATCCCACACTTGTCCTAAGCTCAAGTCACTCAGCACCCAGTTCACATGAAGCTTTCTCATCAGTGTCTTCCAGTGTCGTTCTTTCAGGGCTTCTGATTTGAGTTCCACAATCAGCATGTTTACCTAACAAGGCAAATATGAAATTAAAATAGATTGCAAACCCTTCCATGACCATAAAGGAACTTCTCCTTGCAACATAAAATTAATACATTTTCGAGCATAAAGGTAAAAAAGGGACAGAAAAATACTAACTGAGGAATATTCTTTGATGGGACATTAAATTCTCCAGGCTAAATTTGTAAGAACTGTGTTGCAGACAGTAAGGAGAATTGATGTATATACAAAATATATCTTGAGAGTAAAAGGGTGTAGCAGCATGACTATTGTGTATTTGGCACAAAACCTTCAACAGTAAGATACCATAATGAGGAGATAAAAATCACCTTCAAGTAAGTCTTGATTGTCTTCTGGACATACTCAAATGAAGAATACTGCTTGAGCCGAGCAGGAAGGTTCTTCATGTCATTCAACAAGGCATCAAGTGACTGACGTAGCTACAGGAATGAACAGACAAACATGAATTTGTTTAAATCAAACACATGGTAGAGTGTACATGTAAACAAGCAAACATGTAAGCAAACACTAGCACAAGTCCCAGTTTTTCCTACCATATTTTCAGTATAAATCAGCAAGTAATTTACAGACACCTCTTCAAAGAAGGATACAGATACAAAAATAATGCCTGACCTACATTAAGTGTATTGCTGAATAAGACATCTAAGTTGCTATTTAAAGCAATTACAGTTTAAAATTCCTTTCTTTACTATTAAAACATTTATTCTACTAATCCCAAATGGCTTAAGTTGAAAGGTTGCTCATATCTTACTCTGTTCTATTTGAAAGTCCACTGCTAACAAATATTCTGCATTCTACTAATTCTGTATTAAGCACATGCAAAAGAAATTCCTCTGGGCATCTAGTCGTTAAACCTTTCATGGTAGCAAGTTGTTATGTCTAGCACCCCTGTATACACTAGAAAACTAACCTTCCTGGGCTGAATTGAAAGCCAAGGTTTTTCTTTCAACTCATCCACTTTCTCCCAGATCTTTGCAAGTTCTGACCACACACCCTTCAAGTCTTGCAGTTCTTCCAACCCAACCTGGACTCGCTCATCACTGGCCACCAATGTTCCTGAAGGGAGATTTCAAGAAGACAGATCATATTAGCAGATTAAACCAATGCTACCAAAGTACCACCATAGAAATTGCTTTAGATCTTTCAATGACATTTCATTAGCTTGAATGGAAGTTATGAACATAGTTGAATGTCTGTCACATGTCCTCCATTTAGGTTTTTTCTAACATCATCCCCACTCACTAAGAACAATCTTCCAAGGACAAACCTCACCTAGACAGCCACACCACAGCACCGACTATCTCAGGTTTGCAGTGTTCAAGAAAAAAAACTAAGAAAAAAAATTTAACTGCACAAATCATACCTGGCTCCATAAGCTCCAAAGCTTCCTTAGCCCTGGCGACATTGTCTCTGTCTTCCTTCAGTCTGGAGAACTTTCCCTCATAGATAGCCAAGTTGTTCAGTGCAACATCAGGTCTGGTGTTACCCTGGACTGGTTTCCCTTTCTCCCACTCAAACAGCAGTTCTGAGGTGCGGGTTTCCACAGCTTGGTCCTCAGAGATGATCTTCATCTGTAGTGTTGCAACCTTCAGGAAAACAAAACAGAATATAAATTGCGGAAACATTAAATTCCAAGACAAAAATTTGATTGAAAAAAAAAAGTCTAATAAAACAGTGGTGGACACCACTCTAAAATTACATTGGCAAATTAAGACTTTGGTCTGTGTCCAAGAATCTCTCAGTTTAACATGATCATATCTCAGTAGCTTCTATTGGCAGTAATAATGCCTTTCATTAAAGACTAATTCAAGATTCTCAACGATTGGTTTTATCTCTAATTGTTGTTACCTGTGTCTGAATACTGGAGTCCTTCCTCTTCAGGATGTCATTAAATGCACCCCACTCTCCTTCAATGTTGTCTACATACAGCCACGATGGAGGGAAGGTAAACCTCTGTCGTTCCAAGATTCTCTGTCCTTCCTTGTACATCTACCATTTTCAAAATAAAATGTGATAATTATACAAATTAATCTAAACCATAAAATGCCTTGCAAGAGTAAAGATCCATCTCATCTAGAAAAATCAATTTGAAATAGTAAGGTATGATCAGAACAGCTAAAAAGTCATACCTCCACATTTTTTTCCCAGTTCTTGAGTTTTCTTTTTAGAGACTGCACCACAGTTATGAAACCAACGGCATCTGATGTGGATGCTCCCTCGATTGTCTGCTGCTCCATGTCAGTGCGAGCCTAAAACATTGACAAAATAAAAAAATGCCTCTTAATATAGTGAAATACCTAACTGCTATTCGTGGATACCCCACCCACCCATTTTCAGCTTGCAAAACATCTCAAAATAATTAAGTTTTCATTTAGCCAGAAATCATCACTTCCATCAAATAAAGTAAAAATTTAAGATGAATGTTTCACAGAACAAAAATACTGCTCTTATAGGAGAAAAACAGACAACACAAACAAAGTGCAATGGAATTGTTTGAGATGATAAAGGCTGGCAAAGATTGCAAGAGCAATTTTTGAAAAATTCTGTTTTAGAAAAATATGTTTCAAGAGCAACCAACTGTGAGGTAGTCATGATAAACAAAGACAAAGTTAGAAAGTAAATAATCATTGAAATAACCACAAAAATAGTATTGAAACCTGGAATACTGCAACAGGAAGAAAAAAGAAAATGCAAAATTACCTTTGAGACTGAGCCATAGAAGTCTTGCATGTTATCTCCAAGGCGTGAAGCAAACTTGCTGAGGATTTCTTTGTGCCAGGTGTCATACTTCATGTTAACTTTAGATTGAACCTTGAATCCAGAGAAAAGATATTTGTTACCTCATGGTAGACAGACAACTTCAAAAATGTAAGGCATAGCTTCACAAGGGTTAGTACCATATAAATACAACCTGTTCTAGACCTAAACGAGTTTTCAGTTTCTAATCCAAACAAAAGGTGCAAAGAGATAGTACATACCTGGTGGTAGTCAATGACAATGGGACCAAAAACTTTCTGTGTCTCTGAAGTGTCAAATGTGACACGCGCTCGCCTGAGGGGCAAAAAAGATATATGCAAAGCAATGTAAACATCTACAACTCAAAACAATAGAAAAAAACAACTGAATGCATTCTTACTAGCTGTATTCACTAAAACACAAGTCATGTTAATTGGCTTACCATGTAAAGTTACAAGACAGGACTTTATTACAAGTAGTTCACAAGTTCACAGATTTAACCAAATGAACAATATCACATTTTTCCTTATATAGAAGACTGTTCACCCTTAAACCCCAAAAACCTATTACCATCTAATTTTCTTAACAGTATAACTTCTGATTCAAACTCTAAGGTTATAGGGATAAAGGAAATTATTTCCAACTAAAGGAGTTATTGACCCTTTACACCCTAACATCAGTAGGCATATTCTCCATACTGTTCTTTATACATTTCTTAAGGTTCTGACAAAGAGAATTTGTTTAACAATCAAGAGCTTCTTTAGTTAATGATGATATCTTTGATTCTCTTGACTTTGTTGTTTGATTCAGGGATGATATTGTAAGGAGAAATTAGATGCCAGTCACCCTAAGGGGTCAGAGCATTAAGCAAATTCTCCTCAACTACATGATGGGTAATGTATATAAAACAGTGTGAAGAATATGTGTACTAAAGTTTAGGAGTTAGGTGTAGATTCTGACATGACATCTTCCTTACTTGATATCTTTGAGCAGCACCATCCATTTCTCCATGTTTTCTCCCAGTCTGTTGTAGATCATACTCATGTCCATGTCCCAGAGAGACTGGTACTGCAACCAAACCTGTACATACTCTTCCATCTTTGCAACCTTCTCTTCAATTGCAGCATAAGCAGCTTGCAGGTAAACTGGACCTTCAGGAAGTTTTGCCAAGAGGTTGCGATAGGTGGTGTCAGTCTCAAACTCGTCGCGCTCTAAACCAACCTACAATATTAAAAAATTAATTGGGGCTAAATTAGTTAATAACAATAATAATAATAATACAACAATTTCTATAGTACCTATTCTAGAGCCTAAGGCACTTTACAATAAAATGTTTAAAGCAGTAACTCAGTAGATAATAAATTCAAAAATGATAAAGCAAACCTACAAATTAAAATAGCACTTAAAAGATAAGTTTTAAGTTGCTCTTAAAAGATTTAAGATTTTAACTACAAAACTATGCTCTAAAGATTATTCCAAAGTTGAAGAATAAATCAAATGCAGTAGTGTCCCCCTTACACTTGAAAAGAGAGGTTTTGGGATTCAATAGCAGTTATGACCAATAAGGGTGGGCAAGGCTTAATGCAATTAAATTGGCAGGCATACTATCAAATGCTCCCAATAAGCACCAATCTCTTCATGTACCAACCTGATATCGGGAACTCTGGATGCGAGGCAGCAATGTAATAATTGCAACCCACAAATGCAGCTCGGCTATCAAGTGATCTCGCACTTTTTCCACTGGAGGCTGTATGAAAAGCACTTGGTTCTGAATAAGGATCTCATGCTTCAGGATCTGTTTAGAAAAAAAAGCCAAAAAATAAGTGCAAAATATAAATAAATCTTGCAACTACAAAGACTACTTCAAGTCTTTGTGCATAAGCTCAGTGAAAACCACTTGTTTTTAGCCATCGGTAGAAAGATCAAACAGCAGCAATCAAGCAAGGTATTTGTATACACTATCAACAAATATGATGCAAAATGTTTTGCTTTGGTTTCTTCAATGAATCACTGAGCGAGTAAATTAGATCCTTTCTTTTAATTATAGCTTTAGCCCTTAAGAAACATCAAGCATCCATCATTTATGAAGAACTGACTCAGAACAGGTTCCTTGTATTCCGGCGCACCTGAATATCAGGGTCCCCCCCTGGCTTGTGAGCCATCATGGAAGAGTCTGTATCATCAATGTGTCTGGTTGTCCTGCTTCCTTTCAAACAATCAGTCCAGCTCTTCAAGCCAGCCTCCAAACGACCTGACAAGAATTTCTCGACCTAAAATATAATGTCATGAATAATTAATGATATCAACAAACATCAAAAACTTACATTCAAATTTTTGCACCTCACTACATGTTGAAATTTGTCATTCTCCTTACTGTCAATCATACAATTCTTATAATGTTAATTCAGAGAATTTAGTATTGGATCAACTAATTATCCCCAAATTGATATTTATCTTTATTCTCTTTACTTGCCTGCTTGATGTTGTATTGATATTGTAAGGAGAAATTCTGTTTTGGTAACGCATGGAAGTTAACCCTTACCTGTTGATCAAGTGTTCCAACCCACTGGGCAAGATTGGAGTAAGAATGAAGGTTCAACTCATCCACAGCTCTCTGAACTTTACCCAGAACATCTCTGAACGTCTGACTGTTGTAAGCGCAAGTCTCAAGGGAACGCACCTCTATATCAATCTTCTCAACACTGCTCAGCAGGTCATCAACCTATGAATTATTAAGTTCAATGTTTAATGAATATATCAAGCCTCTCCAAAAAACAGGTAGGAGTTTTCCCTTGATAAGAAGTAAGTACAGCTGCAAAAACATTGTATTCGTAAGGATCAAACTATACTGTGAAAGCCTCAACTTTGTACCTTTTCTTGGTAGTTGAAGACAGCTTCAGCTAATTTCTGCACATAAGGATCAAGCTTGTAAGACTCCCAAACAAGCACCATACCCTGAAAAATGAAGAAAGAGGAGAATTGTAATCCACATTATTACATGTATAAGAAGCAAAAAAATAAACTTAAACTTTTTTTTTTCCTAAGTCAATTTTTATTTAAATTTTTTTTAAGTAAAAAAGCCTTTATACAGGCCCAAATGGCCCATGGGGCCAGTGCTTAACTCCGGTTTTCTTAGCATGAAGCGGCTAGGAGTATCCCCCCTGGATGGGATGTTAGTCCATTGCAGGGTTACCCCCAGCACATTTGCTGGTACCCATTTGTACACCTGGGTGAAGAGAAGCACTGTGAGAGTAAAGTGTCTTTCTTGCCTAAGAACACAACACAATGACCCCAGCCAGGGCTCAAATCTGGACCACCCGATCTGGAGTCAAGCGCACTAACCATGAGGCCACCGCGCCTCCACTTCAGGATATATGTATTGTTGAATTTTTAACAATGTAATACACAGCTGAAAATTTTACATTGATAATTATGCAATATAAGTCAATAAATTATTAAGTTTTTATAAACTCAAAATATGTTGTACTCACTTCAGTAATTAGGGCTTGTACTTCTTTGCGTAAGCCAGCCACAAGAATTGATATGGAGTTCTTCTCCTCAACCTGAAAGGAATAAAATTACATAAAAATGTATCAAAGGGAGGTTCTGGGGTACAGATGACTCTTAGGCACCTTTGAGAGGAGCCCCGTAAGGAGAAGATGATCTTAACTTGTTCAGTTTATTTTTTAAGTAGCAAGCTGTTCACTAGTGTGCCAGAAAACCAGTCAGTTAAAGTTGAATAATAAAACAACTTTATCAAACACCACCTTCTTTTGAATTACTCCAAGGAATGACCAAGAATGAGTTTACCTTTAAAATATCCAAATAGTTTCAAGTAGAAAGGTGATGAGAGGTAAAAAAAATATACTGTACTACCTAAGAGATACAATCTGATTTCACACGAAATTCCTAGATTTAAATTTAAAAGGAAAGTATGGCAAACAGTGTGGAGAATTGATATTTAGATCTTGGAGTGGAAGAGTTGAAAGTATCATGTCTTACCTTTTCACAAGTCCTTTCATATGTGCGCACACTTTCAATCAGTGAGATGGCAAATGGATAAAGCTGGTTTGCTTGATGTGCTTTGTTTACAATTGCCAGTGGAACTCGGAAACCCAGCCACTTTAAGTTACGAACCTGGAATTCAAACAAAAGTCACAGGCTTGTCATTTTTTTAAAAATGCATTTAAGTGGATTTTAAACATAGACTTGGTTTAAACCTGGGGCCAATGGCAGCATTTTCATAATTCATACAAGGAATAATTGTGTTATGTAGAATGTATCATTGATAGAAAAACTACATTTGCATCCACTGCAGAAAATTGGGCAACCAAACAGAAACAATTCATGAGAACAATGTGCTTTCAAATACCTCTTTGGAAAGTGTGATGATTTCTGGCAAAAAGTTGACTTTCAGTTTCAGAACATTTCCTCTGCCACCTCCTCTAGCTCTGGTACTTTCAATGGTGAAGATTCGACCAGAAACTCCAAGATTTCGCTGCTGCACCTGTTTGCAGGAGGAAAATATACATGTTCAACCAAATGTGAGCTTGGAAAAATTTCACCTCCATCTGTGGAAAGCCTTTAAATTTTTTTACTTTCTTTCTTTGTCTCTTGTTATTCACAGTCTGTCACATTGTTATCAGTCAGTCAGACACTTAACATTCATATATTACTTCACTTAACACTTCCACTTCCAGTTATGAATAACCAACTTTTGTTTCTTTTTATTTTAATATGAAAGACGATATGTAGCACTGTGTGATACCAACCTTTCTTGACCAATCATCAAACAGTTCTTGAGTGTTAAGTTTCTGCCTGAAGCTGTCACCATCTCCCTTCAGCTTCTGTCCCTCAACATGATTTTCCCAGCCCTTGCCAAGTACATCTTCAACACGCCGCATATAGGCAGAGAGCTGCCGATCAATCTGGAAGAGAAGGAAACTATTAAAGATCACATCATCATTACTTTTCACAGGGTAGTCTGATCACCCATGTGGGTGTACAGTATTGGTAGTCTGATTGCCCGTGTAAGTGTATTCCTGTGACGGATTGTTGTCAGTATGCACAACTAATATTTCTATACAATCCAGGTGGGAGTCATCAGCCCAGTGTAGAGTTGTTATCAGTCAAGTATTTATTACCAAGAAGTGTATAGTTTTAAAGTCCTCCAAAAGTTATACTAGCACTCAGAAGATAACTAAGAAACTTGCCTGTCTTGCCCAGATGATGGAGCCAGACACAGGAGGCAAGTCTCGTACTTTGCTCATCTTGCAAGCTTTGCTGTATGGATACTGAATCTGGAAAGGAAACAAATATTGACTGCTATCAATGACATACATGTACATAAAATATGTAAATTATGTTTTAATTTTGAATCTGGTCAGTTGGCCAATCATAGAGCAGGGTACAGCACAACCAATGTAATCCTGGATTACTGTCAACAGTAAAAATTACTTGACAGGTGTAAGCAGAATAAATGCTTCTTGTTGGCATTAAGGAGAAGCACACATAATAGGAATATCAAACCTTGAACTTGTCATGAAGAGCCTCAATGTCGTCCTTCACCCTCTGGATCAGTTGAGTCTGATATTCCCGGATTGCACCTCTGATGTGTGGACGCACAAACAAAGCATTGAATCTTGAAAAGATCCTGAACATCTCATTGGCATTCTTAGCAGTTCCAAGCTGATCTCTTAGCCGAGCTGTGATGCGAGTCTCCACTCTGTCTATGCGCTCATCATACCTGACAAGGAAACATAAAGAGAGCACTTTGTTAGACAATTTTTTTTATTTGATAGGCATAGATTTCTTAAGATATTAAAATATTTTACTCCAGGAGTAACCAAGGGCCTTGAGGGTTCCAGCAACTTAATGGTCCATAAAGTTCTTCTGTCCTCAATCAAGATGGGTGTTTCAAATATTTTTAAAATCATACAATGAAACTATCGGCTTCAGAAACAAATGGGTTGTTAAGAGTGCTAGCACCTGCTTCCTTATTCTTGAAATTTTGATTTTGAAATTGGCTAGACCTTTTCAGTTACAGGGACTTTCAAGAAACAGGCCCCAGATCACCTATCTAATTTTCATTACTGTTTTGATAATATAGTGTCAAACAGAAAGGTAATGAAAGCAAGAAAATTATTAGTTAAAAGGTCTTGAACTTTCAATCAAATTTTCAACCAAACTTTCAATAAAAGATTGCTAGAACAAAAACCGAAAATTGCCTTATCTTTTTGCACCACTTTTGCACAATACTGTAAGAGAGAGTTATCCTGCAAGTCAATTGGGAACTAACTAACCTCTTGATGGCTGCCTCCCAAGCTTCTGAGCCATCTTTTGACACATCAAGTCCATCAACTTCCTTGACATTTTCATATGCCAGGTTTACTTCCTGTATAGCATTAGCATCAGCTGGGTCAAGCAGCACTTCTGGTTTTGTCTCCTCATCCTCTGTCTGAGGGGGACCACCAGGGCTGGGAGGAGATGCTTGGCCAACAGTAGGAGGCTGGAGAACACGGACAATGACAGCTCGGAGTTGTTCATGCTGACGGCGAAATCTGAAATTTGTTATCAATATTGTTGAGTTCTGGGATAGCAAATTTAAATGAAAAACAATATTAGACTAGTACCTTATTTGGGAAAAATAAATTTACAGCTGCACCCAACATGAAAAATGGGGACTCCTAAATGTTAGAAAAGAAAAGCAGTCACATAATTTCTCAGTGGGTTCACTCTTCTTACTTTCTCATCTGGTCAAGCCTGGCCTGAAGTCTTTTGTGAGCTGGATTCACTCTCCACACCATCTTCAAGCTTTCTTCTCTTTTCTTCTTTACAATGTCTCGCAACAAGGTTTGAAGCTTTTCATATTCATCATCCCATGTTGTGAACACTTCAAAGCAAGCTACCATAATCTACAAGAAATTATTAAGACCACAATTATATAAACTGGAAGTTTTGTATTTGACATAAAACACAATAATTATATTATTAAAGTTGTCTGCTTTGTATCCTTACTTTTTCAAATTCTTCATGAGTGATGTGCATCAATCTTCTGGTTCCCAATACCTGGAAAATAAAATCAACCAAAAATTGTTGATTCATTATTCTGGTCATGGTCTGGAAGTTGCAGTTTAAAAAAATTTATCTCCATGAATAAATTGTCAAGATAAAGCCTTGTCTATCTCATTATCTTAGGATCCAAAGATGCATTTAGTTTTTACCACACATTTAATACTGATATTTCATGGCAATATCATTTATATCATCAGACTAAATTTGAATCTTAAAAGTTGCCAATGAAAATAAATCTATCATTGTTATTTTAACTGTTGTATGTGCAACTATCTTTACACTCCAGCAGAACTGTTGCTCAAAGTTCCTGCCACCATAATTTTGCTGTGTAATAGACACTCACAACAAGAAATATGAAGGTAAGCAATAATTCCCTACAGAGGACTCGGAGTTCCTTTGACGTCCAATGCTCATCACAAAAACAAATAAATTCCTTCTACATAAGCAAACAAGTTCTTTACTCCTTACTGAAGAGATAAAAGAGAGAATCTATGCAGCTGTACTGTACCTTTAAAAGCTGTGAACTGAGGTCTCTGGAGATTGCTTCTACGAGACGCAGTGCTCTTTGGATTGGATACTTTGTGCTACGGATCTTTTTCAAATGAGAGAAAATTGCACTCAACGCAGCTCGGATCTTGTCCAGTTCTGTTGCTGCCAGAAGGTCATCCAGAGGAAAATCCTTCATGAGTGGGTTGTAGTCATTCACTGTTGCCAAGGCCTGCTTTAAACCTTTAATGAAGAGAGAAGAAATTAAATCAATGTACCCTAAAGCTTACATATCAAAGTAAATAGTGATGTTTCTTCAACATTTATATGTAAATGGATAATCCTGCAGAAAACATCAATTAAATAATGAGCCATGCATGCCTTTAGGTTGTAAAATCTAAAATGTAAGTTTGACTTTACAACATTACCCCTTTTACTCCCAAGATCAGATTGTTAATTCTCCCTCTGGCTGCTTTACATTTCCTTGCAAATGATTATGAGAATTTAGTATTGGATCAAGATAACAACCTCTACCTGTTAAGTTTGAGTATTCTCATCACCTGTTTGATGAATAACATATGGATATTTTAAGGAGAACTTGCATATTAATCATTTTTGGGATAGAAAGGGACCAGCTGTTCCTACTGGAAAAGAAGGGTTCAAATAAACTTTCACTGTACCTGTATCAGTGTCAAAGCTGACAGTAGCATGAAACCTTTTCCCGTGTTTTAAGATATCCAAGGTAAGTGCAATATCTGGACTCTCTCTGATGTCCTGGATTCTTAGCAAGGCTCTCTCAAGATTTAACCAGAAGCTTATCTCTTGCAAAGCTGTACCAGATGCTGGATCACGGTCTAACTTTGTGACCTACACAAAAGAAATGCAAAGAAAAGAAAAAAAATATTCTTGAAATTAACCCACTGAACATATTCCTGGGGCTTGAACAACAACAACGTTGTAATTATAAAATGTAATAGATATACAATCTGAACTGAGCTAGTCACTAAATTGGATTGTGCTTGCTATTTTGTAACACACCCTTTTAGGGGGGTCTGAGGGCATGTTCCCCCAGAATATCTTAAAAATTTGAAACTTTCTAATAAGTGATTTGCAGCATTATGAGACAATTAGTTGGGGAACTTTTTTAGCCATAAACTAACATAAGAATCAGTTCAAAAATAAATATTTTCTGCTTTTGGGTCACAATTCACAAAGTAGCCAGTGCAAAAAGAGTCTGACAGCTAGCCGGTGGTGCCACCTACCAGCTTCCAATTACAAGAATGGGTTCTATGCCATCAAAAAGTATTGCCAAAATTTTCTTAGACTGTCATGACAACCTTTCATGATTCTGGACAGCAAAAGGCACCATAAGGGTTTAATGTCTTGCTCATGAAACTGCATGCATGCATTACCCGGCTTTGGCCTGAGCTTGTCAATAAAATTATACCAGTTATTGTCTCTGCCATTTAAAAAACCAGTGTTCAATTAGATCAACTCACAAACATGAACAAAGCATCACAACATTAAGACATAAAAGCAATGCTTGTGTTTCCAAACCTTTTGAATTTCTCTAATCCATCTGTTGACACCATTCTGAAGTTGATTCAAGAAAGTTGAATCCTCAACTTTGTCACCAAAATCTTGTACTTTAGGCCTTCGTCCTTCTTCTGCACACTTCTTCACCATTGCTGTCACCACAGGGTGAATTGCTAAAGAGATCTCTGGGATATCAATATTCTGCTGCAAATGAAGCAGCCCCATTTCCAACTCAGCAATTTTCTTTTCCACAGAAGGGACCATTTTATCACCATCTCTGTAAAAAAAGCAATGAAGTAGATATTTCATGATGCTTAGAATAAAGGACAATTATAGTTAATTCCTATCAATGAAAGCTGCTTGATTCAGAGGGACTGTCTGTTAAATCATTACACAGCTCATACAAGTAGCTTCCGGAAATTTTCCATCATTATCAAGCATTTTTGGTTAACCCCTGAACTCCCAAGAACTGATTGAAAATTCTTCCTTCGAGCTATTACACATTTCCTTTTAAATAAGTAATGAGAATTTGGTGTTAGATTAAGATAACAACTTCTATCAGATAAGTTTGAATATTCTCATCACCTGTTTGCTGGATAACGTATGGAAATCATAGAGAGAAGTAACATCATGATGTTAATCACTTCTGGGAGTTAAAGGGTTAAGTCTCATTATGAAAAATTGTCTAAATCAAAGCTATGTACCCACAATCTGCATACAGATATTAATACTGGTTTAATAGAAAAAAACAGGATTTTCTGGGAAAGCTAAAGAGGGTGCTTTACATAATTAACTTAATGATTTAACACCAAAGATCTGCATATCAATTCTCCACACAGCATGTCATACATTGCTAATGATTTTAGCTCTGAGCGTTGTGTCAAATGTAAACAATCGCCTAGATTACAATTTTTTCTCATCAGTTTTCTAATTTTCTGGTATATTGAGAAGGTAAAATGAAATACTCTTTGCTTACATCTGGGAGCGAAAGTAAAAACTGTTTAGGATGCGATAGAACAGATGTACCACTGGAGAGCAATATTAATCAACATTGAACATTGCATGTACTTTGATTTTTATATTTGGGTCTTGCAATTTTCACAAGTTATGTTCACACAGATAGGAGACAGCAAGTCAACAAATTTAAAAGCGTGTATTTGAGACTGTAAAAAGCGTCAAAAAGCTTAAACTGATTTTCTTTGCCATTTCCAGACATTTCAGTGAAAATATAGACATTTAAATAAATTTGCATATTAACTAATAAACACTTTTCTTCAACACACCCAAATTCACAAATAGCGTGATCCCACAAAAAAATGTATTTTTCGGAAACTTCCTTTAACGTTATTGCACATGACACCAATTGAAATAAAGAAAAAAGTACATATGATCAAAATAATGGTCACAAAAGCTAAAATGTAAGCGTTGCGATACCTGTCCGCCTTTCCAGATTTCCTGACAAATGACTTGAAATATGGCGCCACAGCATTGCTAATATAGGAATGAAGAGTTTCATAAGGCGAGCCCTCGTTTAAATTTATCACACGGATCTGTGTTGTGATCTTCTTGTCGGCATCGACAATTGCCCCTCGCTTGATGAAGGCTACACTCGTAAGCTTTGGAGCTGTGTAATGGACATCCAAGTCTAGCGAATAAATTGCTCTTTCACGCTCGTTTTCTGCGCCACTCTCGGTGGACGAGGTCTCATCGTTTTCTTCTTCATCTTTCAGTGGTGTTCGCTGAACAAGTAGACTTCTCGTTTGAGCATCAGAGACAAATTTCCTGATGTAATCGACGTGTAGGGCATCTTTGAGAGCTGTGTCGAGCTCGAGAGGTATTTCGGGGTCACCTTCGAGAAGGAGCGGTACAATTCGACGAAGATAATTTGTGAAACTCTTCACATCAACCACAGCAGCTTCTGAAGTGGTCGGGGAGCTAGGTGCTCCATCCGAAGCCGCCTCCATGACGGGCAAACTAACACTATAACTCTTTCAGCAATCGAAGATATTCGCAGTGTATTTATCACCGGTAAACTGACTTCTTTTATCTTCCACGTTGATAGAGATCACGTGATCTACGAAAAATTGTACTCAGGGGTGGGGTAGGAGACAACTAACTTTTGTAGCGCAAGCAAAAGGAAAACCCAATTTGATTGGACAAAAAAAATGAAATTTCCAAGGAAAAGGAAGGAAGTAGGGGATGAAATATGTTGTGCACAAATATTACTGTTAATAAGACAAATTAACTCTTGATGTATGCTACAGATCTGGTGTTGCATATCTAACCCTTTCACACACCCGAGATTTAAACATTAATCCTCTGAACCATTCCCCATTTGTTGCTTATGATTCACGACCTACTATTTTGATATTTAATCAAGCAATATGCTCTTGTTGATATTTTTCTTTCTTCTCATTACTTTTCTGCTCAGGAATATATGGATATTGTTAGGAGAGACTGCTTGTTAATCACTTTTAGGAGGGAAAGGATTAACTGAGAGAGGTCTGAATCTGCTTCAACTGAGTCAGGCTGTTAGTCAGTAAAGATAACTGAAAAGGCTGGCAAGTTAAAAAATAACAAGGTAGAAGAGGGAAAAATTTCTCCCCCTTGCACTCTTTCCCAACAATCCTTTTCAATCATCCACTTTAACAGTCCTCTTTATTAAAAGAGAGCTTGGAGGAGGCCTGGTATGAATTAAAAGTCCTTCTAATTTTTTTAACTAGACTAAACAAATCAAAAACATGAAATTACTACTGGATTCATAAAACCATTTGAAGCAAAATTAATACATTTTATTCTCCATAAGAAGAGGCTCAGACACAACTGTAGAATTTACGTGATTGTGAATGGAACCACTTTTTTGACTCTAATTAACCAAAATAGTGAAGTGAGTTTTTTAGACTGGTTAAAGAGAGTAGTAAAACGAAAACAGAATAACTGCAGATTGCTATTAGCAACAAATTGAATATTACTGTATTATCAGTTATAGAGAAATTTTCATATAAAGAGGACTTACAAGAATTTGGGAACTTTGTACAATATTTACAGAAATGTCTAATTTGATGGAGTTGTTTCAATTGAAGTATAATACACATCTTCAGACAACTTTCTCCTTATGACTTGACATGTCTCCTTTTTCCACTTCAGTTATGACCCATTAAGTTCCACTTTCTTCCTGTACTCCGATCAACTTTTCACTTCACAAACCACAGAATGACATGTAAGAAGTTCAATTTGATTGCACAAATGGTTATGATACATGTCTACTGGTTGGCACTTTCACAGGCATCGATCCAGTCACTGTATACATCCACTGGCTCTGAAAGATCTTCCAAACTATTAAGGAAAATCAATCTTCATGATTTATAAATCATTGGAAGTCACACTTCAAACTGGAAAAACAGATAATTTCAAAATGTAAAAACTAATCTAGTACAATCTTGGTTTAGGGGAAGATGACTGGGAAAAGATACAGAGACAAGTGCCTCCAATGAGAGGTCTCCCTTCAGAAGAGGTTGATGATCTTTTCTAGTCCCAGGACCTCAAAAACAACTCTCATTACTGTCTGCCATACTTTTCTTGTGATTAGTTAACCCTTTCACTCCCAAGATCTAATTAGTAATTCTCCTTACTATCTGCCATACAATTCTTATGATGTTAGTTCAGAGAATTTGGTATTGGATCAACTAATAATCCCATGATTGATATTCTTCCCTATTCACATCACCTTCCTGCTTGATATTGTATTAATATTGTAAGGAGAAATTCTGTCTTGGTCACTTGTGGGAGTGAAAGGGTTAAGCTCAAAACAAGTTGGTGTTGAATTAAACAATAACCCCTTATTTGATATTTTCTTCTTGTTGTTACCTCTATACATGGCAATGTTTTATGGAGAAATTAGTTTTTAGTAGCTCTTTAGATTGGAAAGTTTAATACAAGGTTATTAGTACTTTTTCAGCCAAGGCCAAACTTGTGACCCTGAAATTAAAGTTTCAGAGAGGACAGATGCCACTGTATGCAACATTACAAAAGAGTCACAAAATGATTTTGCACATGTTTAAGGTGGGTCTCCATTCAAAGTAACATGTACATAGTATCTTTACCAATCAAATTGGAAAATCCCATATGCTACTTTCTCAAGAGCTCTGACAATAGGCTAATGCTCAAACATCAGCTTTCAAACTCTTTACGGTAGCCAATTTATGTTATTGACCCAGTTGATAATATTAAATTACCCAGTTAAAAGTCTAGTTCTGAAGTTCGGCCAAAAGGTTGAACTTGTAACAACTAAGAATAAGTCTAAAGAGTGGCAAGGTTGTATATTGTAACTACCAGATTCACACTCCACTACTCCTGTAAAATACTTGGCTACACTGGTTTTGTTTCACAGCTGTTAAAATAATTATGTATAACAAGGATACAAGTAATAGATGTCTGAAAATCTTCTAAACAAACCCGACAGGATATATGTCCAGTATTACGAACCCGATCCCTGATAGAAGACAGAAAAATAACTTCTTTCACACGTACACATTTGTAACATAATCAACTTTACACACTGGCTGGGAACAAGAGAAGGAAATCTTTCAGAATTAATGGGAAGATTAGGGTATCTCTGTTAAAATGCCAGAGATTTTCATCTGAATTTTACAACCAGAAGTTCCAAATCCCAAAATCTACACACGAAATCTTATGGTGAAGACCTCTCTCAACACCACGGATTGAAACAGTTAAAACTTGTTAGCACACTTCACTGTCAACACGTAGAAATAATACTACAAATACCAGTAGGAGCTACTCTCTAGAAAAAAAAATTAACACAAAGCTACAAAGAGACTCGCAATCAAATGCGAACATTCCTTCAAAAGAACCCAAATTTGAGCGCAGCAATCAATGGTGATTGTCCTGTTTTGTCTGGGCACCAAACTTACATTCTTACTTCGCAAGACTTCTCGTGATTACAAAAGGGACAGTTAAATTGTTTGTCCAGTGGATCCTGTCTTCTTTTAGGAGCTGGCTTTCGCTTGGATCTTCTACGACCCATTTCAACTCTCCACTCTCACAATCTAACGATCTAACTGATTTTCCTTCTCTCTAACACGTTGTGACAACTTCGTAACCAATCCCCTCTCCAAAGGAACGCGTTTAGTTCATATAAAACAATTTTTGTGTCCCAAAACTTTTGTGAAGAGCTGCTTTCGTAAGAATGGAATGGTCCTCTTACAGAAATCTTTTCCTTGATGGAAAAGATGCGTTTCCTTGATGCGTTCCAAAATTACATTGTCTCCCTGTTTCAGAAATAACTTCCCATAAAAACACTATGACAGAATGAGTTCTTCCTCGTTTGTCACCAACGAAAATGTGTGCATGAAGACCCGTGCTAGAATCTCAGGTTACATCTTTTTTTCTAACTCGACAGAAAGATGAGATACTCCAATTTCATCGTATTTATATCAAACAAATGTCTTTTACATCCTGAGCCAAAAGATATGCTACTACACGCAACATCTCTACAGGAACACATTTGACAACCGCTTCAGCATTAGTGAAACTTAAACTTTGATCATTTGACATATTTTGCATTCTCTAATCGCGTCTGTCTGAATTAATTTTTGGTAGACGCCTTAGGCATGATGATTATAAGACAGCTTAGGTCAGAGGCGACTCGCTGCTTACGCTGTAGGTGCAAGCGCTAGGGTATCACGTCGCAAAATATCAGCGTGACTGCAACAATCTTGGCGGGTTTAAGAAACAAGGTAAGTCTGAATTTAGATGTCTGCATGATATAGCCAATATTCTTTTAGAGACATCGACGATAACACATGAATGTCTAAAGTAATTTTGCCGCTGATTTAAAACGATTTCTATTTTGAGACTTATTACATAATAATTGACATCTTAGAACAATCGTAATGAGAGCTAAAAAGCTTGAATGTCTTCGGAAAGGCTGGCAAGGGACAACATTAATAATTGAACACAAGAGTGGACTCCATTTCTGCGAATATTTAGGGGAAAAAAAGCTTAGCGGCATACCTCCAAAAGTACAAAAACTTCCTTAAACCCCTTGCGGCCTGTCACGCGACCAAACTTTTCTTTGCCATAGTCTCTGCATGTCTTTAAAAAAAACCGGCGCATAACCCTCCAACAAGCCCATATAAAATGTTTGACCAAAATATTCCTTTCTTTGCAAATTATAACACGGTAGCGATCATATTTGATGGATGCTCTGGCTACTGTTTGATCCATTAAGTCAGATTTATTTACTTTGGCTTTCAAAAGAAAGTTCAAGTTGAAACAAGCTTGGATCTTTTTTTTTTGCATCACAAATCGGACCCTAAACTCTTCAACATGTGTGCTATATTTGAGTGTTCATGGAAAAGGTCGACGGATTTCTTCAGGGCAAAGAAATGTTTGCAAGAGAACAGTAAGTGAAGCGACGCGCTGTCGTTGTATTCCGTTGAATCTTAGGGCTTCTTAACACGGATAACTTCATCAACTTCTGTGATAAGCTAAATTCGGATAGAAATACACATGCAAACAAATCGAAGAAAGTACATTTTTGAACGGATCAGTGCATGAACTTCAACGAGGGACCAATTTGCTCGGTTCAGTGAGTTGTCTGTCTACGGTCTACCAAGCGTGAAGCGTTCGTAAAATTAACTAAAATCGTCGAAACTGATTTAGTTGAACACCTCAGTATTACGAACAACTGAGCTACAGAGTATCTCTTATCAAAACATAAGCTCTTGGGTTACTGTACTCTTTGTTTTATGTTTTGCCTCTTCGTTGCGTTCATTGAGTTCATTGTTTTATCAATAAGTCCATGATGATTGCATTCGCCCACGCGGTAGTCTCAACCTTCATGACTTAAGCAGAGCTGTCGATTTTTTTTTTTATTTGATGTCTGAAGATCGTGATAAAGCTGCTTAACAGACTAGCAATGATATGTCTTCATTGCGTTTATCAAGTTCCTTTCATGTTTTATCATGATCTCTATGGTAACTGTAATCGCATCCGCGGTAGTCTCAAACTTCAGAGCACATTAAATGCGTAAGCAGAGCTCTCTATTTTCTTTTTTTTTCCCTCGATATTTGATGATTGTGATAAAGCTGCTTAACAGACGGGAAATGATATGTGCGCACCATTATGAACGATTTAATGGCGAAAATAAATGTGACTGAAAACATAAGATCTCAAAAGTTCAGAACGAGGAAGTATAAGTTTCAAACTAAGGGTAGGATCGAGTACTCGCGCACGAACTCTGGAAAACAAACTGTCATCTTGATGTCAGCATGAGCTTCTTAGATTAAACAGCTATGTGCATTCCACGCAACATGAGGAAGCATATTTTCTATTGTTTACCGTTTATTGAAACCAAGTTGTCAGCCGGATTTTTCTTTACATTCGAAACTGTAAACGCCACATCTGGTTTATCGGTTTCTTTCTGGAATTCCATTCCACAACAGTACCGTAATTGCTTATTTTACAAACAAAAGTTTTGAAAATTGATTGAAAGCAAAGATGCTTGTATGCTAGACACAATTATAGACACTAGACAAGTTTTTAGTTCTAAGTCGTGCATGGATAATTTTCACTGGCAGACTGTTCGTGCCACGACCGGTCAGAATGTTCTCTGTCAGACCGTTCCAAAATATGGTTGGACGTTTTCACATCAATTTCTCTTTATCGTCTCTTAATATAACTGTATGGACAAATCATCCAACTTGGTAACTGGATGCCACTTATAAACGAAAGTTTCTTTTTGGTTTCGTTTCTCGAGTGAGGAGCAGCAGGTCAAAAGACTATTTCCATAAATTATTTGGTTTCCAATAATCCTCCCTCTCGTAAAAGCGGTACAGTCGATCGCGCAACAAAAAGAAATAGATAAAGTAAGAAATGATGAGCAAATGAATGAAAACGGAAAATAAATGAAAGAAACCACCCAATAGGTTGGGTTCAGGGTAGCCTGGCTGCAAAGGGAAAAGGCCTGGATACAGGTGAGCGTACAAAGGAAATTCCTTTAAAGATTCCTATCGAAGACGAAGTCTTGATTACTCACGAGATGGAATTTCTGGATATTTCGTTATTTAATTTTATTTTAAACTGGGAATGGCCAAACGTGTGGAAAACGACCTTGGCTTTTGGGTTAACGCACTCCCAGATCCCATAAGTAATTCTCTCTTCTGTCTGTCATGCAATTGGGAGAATTTGGTATTGGATCAATTTATAATACCCAGATTTGATTTATTCTCATCACTTGTCTTCTTGATATTGTATTAATATTGAAAGGAGAAATTCTTTCTCGGTCGCTAATGGAAGTTTTGGAAGGGTTAAGTCTATGCTATTGCCCTGCTCGTTTTTCTAAAAAAATCAATACGCAAGATTGAAAGAGACAAGAGGAACATATTGTGATATGCTCAAATTTAACACTTGCGATCCACGAAAATATACCCTCGACCTAAAGAAGGTTCACCCGCGGCTCACACCAATTTACCTTATCTGTTTTGTAAAATGATTTTCAGTGATGGAAACAGACACGGTTTCGGTGGAGCCACGTTGGAAACGTGACTTGGAGTTACTTTGTAAAGCCCCGAGAGCGGCGAGCAACTTTATCACCTCATCTCTAGAAAAATGTTTTTATAGGTGAGTGACTTCAATTTTACCTTCAATCGCAGGAACTGGGATCACCAGGCATGGGTGGGATAGAATAGTACTCATAGTGAAATAGAACAATAGAGTTTACATATGTTTTGGGCCCGACTCAGACTCACTTTAGCCTGAGCCGCAAGGCGAGGGTTAAAATGAGTCTGAGTTGGGCCCAAACCGAACTGAGTCATATTTAAACTTTGACCCACGGTATGGGCGTAATCTTTTTTCCCTGGTAATCTGGCATTACGACATAAGCGTATCATCAAAACTATTTATACGGGCTGGCTGAAAAGTCGTGATTCTAACCGATCATTGCAGATGATTAGATCGTTTAAGTTCAAGATGTCCATTTGTGTGGAGCACTTTACATAATCCGACTTCCCTAGCCAGGGGTGCTGGTTGTGCAATTTAACGTCTTACCAGACTTGACATGTTCAAATGAACTCGATAGTCGTACTTGTTGATGTGTTATGCGTGATATCTGATATGTGATATGTGCTTGCATATTCAGATTGGGGAAAGTAGTCGGCGGCAGTCCATGGATCACCATTTTTATTTCATTAGCTACTTGCGGAGTATGCCTCTTAGGTGTTCTCAAATTTACTAAGGAGAATAGAGTAGATAAGCTTTGGACGCCACAAGATTCGACCGTCCAAAGACACAAATTATGGATACAAAAGAACTTCCCGGCACAGATGAGAGTTTCTAGTGTGCTTCTTGTGGCCGATAATGTCCTTACTCCCGAGGTTATGAAAGAGGTAAGTAATCAGTCATTGTCGAACACTGCAAATTAGGCGGAGAATTCCTCGACAGAAGATGTCTGCACTGCCCCAGTCATGGTGAAGTCAAATGGCGTGGATAAATTTGAATGTATGAGAGGATACAGTAATCCTTTGAATCTCCTCGAAGAAAGCTTTGTCGTACACATCATAGATATAACCTGCGTAGCTGGCAATTTTGTCTGCGCTATGACAATTAAGCGGTGAAACCACGAGAGGCTTGGGACGGAAGAAGTTATGTTCCCCTTCCGGCTTCACTACTCATCTCTTATCGCAAACAAACCGTGAAGCCTACAAAAAAACCTTCAGCCACGTAAGACATCATAAATATTTTGAAAGTACCACAAATTTTCCTTTTTTATTTCATTGCTTTTTTTTTACAGGCTTTAATGGTCTATGAGAGGGGAACAAAAATTGATCAAAAGACTAAATATTCCTGGGAGAATATATGTTTCAGGTAGGTAGAGGATGCAAGGTAAAAATGCCGAACTTTTAGGAA